TCTAATCTGGACTCTGAGCTTCGGCAGCGCAGAGCAGTATTGAAAGAATCCTCGCAGACAGAAGAAGAAATGCCAGAAAGTACCGCAGATGATGTCAGCATCACGGACAAGATTGTCGAGGCAGCGAAGCCTGCACTCGCACAGCGATCAGATTATCGCAGAGACAATTTCCTCCAACATTTGTTCCGAGCTATGTTTGCTGCTTGTTTTGGCGATCGGAAACGAGCCAGGTGAGCAAATACTATTTCCTTTTCCCTGAAATTCTTGAGTATGTGCCTTGCGGCACTCTTCCACCACTCGTTCTCCACTATGCAGTAACTGAACTGAGGAGAACTATCGCTAACGTGGTATTACAGTGCTTCTGCTCTCGTTCTTGGTACAACCGCTGCAACTTACTATTACGCTGCAAAAGCATCGAGATGAGAGGATAAGTACAAAATGGGACACAAAATGATCAAGATTGGTGTGAGGTTGGAGTTGGCATTGCACCACACTGTACGATATAATGGGCACGAAATGAGCATAGCGACGCGAGAACTGCCATGCATTGCACTGCGTACGCGTAACGAGATTAATGACCTGGGTTTCATGATACATAAGCATGCGCTCTAGCGCGCTGGCGTTTCATATAGCATTCACTCTCCTCTTGCTCAAGCTCCAACAATCCTATCTTACAACAAGAAATGGAAAACGTGTTTTTGTGCTGCACATACATTATTCTAGATTGAATATGACACTGGACAGTAACTACGATACATGGGTGGCGAGGACTAGCATCATGAAACTCGCGAAATCTTTTCCATCTCTCAGCGGTCTGATTCAACAACAATGTGAGACATCACAAGCGTATAAGCAGGTATGACAGATAGCTTGAACAGTCATCACAATGGGACAGAAGCAACCAAGTATTGCTTATATCATGGTCTCATTTCTTCTGTATGTTCCTACACACTGGTACTACCTAGGTATCTCATATCTTCATAGCAAAGGTTTCTTCATGTAAAAAAGCGACAAGACTCAAGTCTATTGAAGCAATCGTCAGTGAGTGTAACACAACGGCAACCACCATGCTACACACTCAGAAAATAGCACACGTAGAAATAGGGAAACGAAACGCGACTGGCGCTGCATTTTCTTACAGACGCGGCCGGTTTGCTCCACTCGGTTGTGCACTCACCGACTTGTTCTTGACATCGTATCGGTCGTTGTTCATGATCTTCTCCCAGCCGGCAACAAACTCCTTGACGAACTTGTCTGCGTTGTCGGGCGACGCATAGGTCTCGGCGATAGAGCGGAGTTCGGGGTGCGCACCAAAGACGAGGTCGTGGCGGGTGGCGGTCCACTTCTTCTGGCCAGACTTGCGGTCAACGCCCTCGTACAGCTCCTTGCTTGCATCGGTTGCCTTCCACTCGGTGTTGTTGTCCAGAAGGTTGACGAAGAAGTCGTTGGTGAGTTGACCGGGACGCTTGGTGAAGATACCGTGGGATGAACCATCCCAGTTGGCATTCAGCGCACGCATACCACCGGTGAGAACGACCATCTCGGGTGCAGTGAGTCGGAGGAGATGAGCCTTGTCAACGTCAAGTTGCTCGGTGCGGACACGCTCAGTACCCTTGCCGAAGTTACGGAAACCATCGGTGACGGGCTCAAGGTGCTCGAAAGACTGAACATCAGTCTGCTCCTGCGAGGCGTCGGTGCGGCCGGGTGTGAAAGGAACGGATACACCAGCGGCCTTTTCAACGGCAGCAGTACCGGCCAAGACAATCAAGTCAGCGAGAGAAACCTTCTTGTTGCCACCGTTGAACTTGGACTGGATGCCCTCAAGAGCCTTGAGGACCTCAGCGAGCTCCTTGGGGTTGTTGACCTCCCAGTCCTTCTGAGGAGCGAGACGGATACGGGCACCGTTGGCGCCTCCACGCTTGTCGCTGCCACGGAAAGAAGCTGCCGAAGCCCAAGCAGTGCGGATGAGCTTAGCAGGCTCGATGCCAGCGTCAAGGATCTGCTTCTTCAAGGAGGAGATCTCAGCGTCGCCAATGATCTCACCCTCAGGCTGAGGAACGGGGTCCTCCCAGATGAGTACCTCCTTGGGAATCTCAGGACCCAGCCACCTAGAACGGGGGCCCATGTCGCGATGGAGAAGCTTGAACCATGCGCGAACGAAGGCATCGTGAAGCTCCTCTGGGTGGTCCAACCAACGACGAGTGATCTTCTCGTAGGCGGGATCCATGCGCATCGACAAGTCGGTGGTGAGCATCCTTGGCTTGTGCTTCTTGCCCTGGTCGTAGGCGTCGGGAATAATCTTGTCGTCGGTCTTAGCGACCCACTGGTTGGCACCAGCAGGGCTCTTCTCGAGCTCCCACTCGTACTTGTAGAGGTACTCGAGGTACTTGTTACTCCACTTGGTGGGTGTGCCCGTCCAGGTGACCTCGAGGCCACTGGTGATGGTGTCAGGTCCGTTACCGCGACCGTGCTTGTTCATCCAGCCAAATCCTTGTGTTGCAAGATCCTCAGAGTTGGGGTCTGGGCCAGTGTTCTCCGAAGGAGCAGCACCGTGGGTCTTTCCGAAAGAGTGACCACCAATGATGAGGGCAGCGGTCTCTTCGTCGTTCATGGCCATACGGCCAAATGTTGTGCGGATGTCGTGAGCAGCGGCAACGGGGTCAGGAACACCCTCGGGACCTGAAAATGTTAGATCGATGAATCTAGACATCTGACCGATTGTGCTTACCTTCTGGGTTCACATAGATGAGACCCATGTGTGCGGCCGCCAGAGGCTTCTCGAGATCCCGCGATGTGTGGGCCTCGTCCTTGTCAACCTTGTGCTGGTCACCGTCCATGATGCCCTCGCCCTTGACACCCTTGGCGCCATCGGCGTAGCGGACGTCGCTGCCGAGCCACTCAGTCTCGCCACCCCAGTAGACGGACTCGTCAGACTGGAAAGTGTCGGCGCGGCCACCAGCGAAACCGAAGGTCGGGCAGCCCATGGACTCAAGGGCGACGTTGCCAGTGAGAAGCATCAAGTCGGCCCACGAGATCCTGTTCCCGTACTTTTGCTTGATGGGCCAGAGGAGGCGGCGAGCCTTGTCGAGGGAGACGTTATCGGGCCATGCGTTGAGGGGAGCAAAGCGCTGCTGTCCTTCACCGCCGCCACCACGACCGTCGGTAACACGGTAGGTACCAGCAGAGTGCCATGCCATACGGATGCTATGACGAGTGTTAGCTTGGCTTGTCGAGGCCAATTGAATCTTGAACGTACAAAAGACCACCGTAATGACCAAAGTCGGCAGGCCACCAGTCCTGGGAGTCGGTCATCAGGGCGTTGATGTCCTTCTTCAATGCATCGTAGTCGAGCTTCTTGAACTCCTCGACATAGTTGAAATCAGCGCCGAGGGGGTTCTGCCTGGGGTCATGTTGGCGCAGGATGTTGACCCTGAGCTCGTTTGGCCACCAGTCGGCGTTCCTGGTACCAGCGCCGGCGACGTTGGGCGTCTTCTTCACGGGACACTCGCCTTGAGACATGATGAATCGTTTGGTAGTGTGTTGTGGAAGAGGATGTTTAAAGAAAACAAACTGCAGAGCTCGCTATCGGGACAGCATCTGGGTATATAAGTAGCGGGGCATTCATAAGCACGACCATTCTGGCCAGCACCTTACTGGCTTGCCCCTCCCGCACCTGGGCAATCCGCCAGTGGCTCCGCATCTCTTAGCTCCATCCTGCCTAGCATCACGAGAGGCTCCACCCCACGGTTGCGACTTTGACCAAGAACTCTATGCTAATCCGACATGCTGACAGTGGCACAGTATTCCATTCGTGTAAATTGTCCCTATCTCCCATACGCTCTTCCCAAAAGCCACGATTCTTGTCGCCGCCACACGCAATGCCATGACGTGCGCGAGTGGCATGTGGGCCTCTTAGACCCCGCTTTCGGAACCGCACATCATCACTGTAATATTCGCCTTGTGATTGGTCGACGCGAATTCACGTGACAATGAGTAGCACCGAGGCAACGAGAAGCTATGGCGGAAATCGGCGGCTTGATGCGCTGGACAAGGCCAGACACCGACTTTGAGTAAGCCGCCCATCCAGAGCAAACGCATCGCCAACACTGCCAGAGTAGCCAGACCATACTAGATCGCGTAATGTATGGAAACTGCTAGACGCGCCTACACGTGTGATCGACCGGGTATGCCATCATCCATGACTTGACGGCAAATAGAAGTATACGGAATTCTAATCTATCAACCATCATTGATCTCAGAACAACTCGCAGTATAATGTCTGAATCAAATTTTCTCAGCCACTCATGAGATCGGCTTCTGCACGACTTGGAGTGCTCATCGTGGCAAGAAAATCATCGTCAGCCTAGGAACTTCGCAAGGTGTTTCCTCAATACTTACTTAGCGGTGACCGATCCCAAGATGATACGCCATGATATGCACGACAGTGTTGTTGCAGTCTTGGTTGAGATCTTTGTTTATCTGAAGTTTGAAGCTGGCCGTCTCACGCCACCCTATCCTGGGAACCCCACGTACATCACCCCGCAACGCCCGCGCTTCATATATGGGGAAAGCCAAGCGCCTTGACGGCTCCAAACAGCCACCCACTTCGCTCCTTCATCAGCCCCTCGCCGCGGAAACCTCCCGCTTTTACACTTGTAAGGATGAAAGAACGATTCGAGGCTACTGAATCGCGTTCGTGACGATCAACCTTTTATTGGATGATTGTGGATATATTCCAAGACCGAGGTTGTCACATCGTCGCGCCATTGGTTTGTATGTCACGATGGATGCGGTTCTACTTCGCTATTGGAGAACCTTACTGTGCAAACAGTGGTTGTGGGTATCTTGGGTTGAGGGGTAAGATGAAGCTGAGGGGTTCATCTACTGTTGTGCATCCGGTTGTTTGACTCTCCCAGTCTACTTATCTCTACTACTAATTCCAAGCGAAATTGTATAAACTTGCCGATACAACCAATTCATACATACACACATCCAGCAACATGGCAGAAGACAAGGTCCAAACTTTTGATATCCCGAAAACATGTAAAGCTGGTGTTGTAGTCAACGAAGGCCCGGACTTCCGCGTCGAGGTTCAGGATGTTCCAGTGCCTGAATGTGGTACGTACTGGAAGACTAAACAGAATGTTTGTGAAGCCCTGACAGCAATGACAGGTCCGACGGACGTGCTCATCAAGCTCAACGCGACCGGCATATGCCACAGCGATCTTCACTTCATGCTCAACGACTGGGCACTACCAAAAATGTCAGACCTCGGTACAAAATGCGCCGGACACGAAGGCAGCGGTGTTATTGTCAAGGTTGGGGATCAGGTCAAGAACCTAAAGCCGGGAATGCGAGCTGGATACAAGGTGAGCAAACTCGCCGTCCGCATAATTTTGCATGGAAAGGAAGCGAGAGCGCAAGCATCCGAGAGAGCAGAAAACTGACTCTTCCAGCCAATTCAAGATACTTGCGGCTCGTGTGAGCTTTGCCGCAACGGTAACGAATGCTACTGCGCAAAAGCAGTCTTGACCGGATTAATGATCGATGGTTCATACAAGCAGTACATTGTCTCACCCGAACGCTACACAACCCTCGTCCCGGATGGTGTGAACGACTACATAGCAGGGCCGATCATGTGTTCTGCTTCAACAATCTACACATCAATCAAGGAGTCACAACTCCGACCTGGAGACTGGGCCGTCTTCCCCGGCGCAGGGGGCGGTGTTGGCCTACAAGGCGTGCAACTGGCGAAAGCTATGGGTCTACGCGCCATAGCCATCGACACTGGCGACGATAAGCAAAAGCTCTGCATGGAAACTGGAGGCGCGGAGCACTTTATCGACTTTAAGAAAGTAGACAACGTAGGAGAGGAGGTAGTACGGTTGTGCGATGGTATTGGCGCCCACGGTGTCTTCGTCACTGCTGTTCAGACTTACCCAAACTCGATATCATACCTTGGTGGCCGCGTTGGTGGAAAGGTGATGTGCATCGGACTGCCGCCGGCTGGGACTCAGCACATTGATGTCGACCCGAACCAAATGTGCTTCAGGAAACAGAGTGTACAGGGTACACTTGTGAGCAGCATGGCGGACGTGGACAAGACGCTTGACTTTGCTAAGCGGGGATTGCTGAAGCCGATTTACACGGTGTATCCGTTGAGCAAGTTCAACGAGGCTGTGCAGAAGCTGAAGCGTGGGGAGATTGCTGGACGAGCAGTTGTCGATTTTAACATGGAATAGGTATGTGGCGAGGTTTCTGTGTGAAAAATATTGAAACCAAAATTTCCGGAAGTTTATATGGCGAGGTCGGCATAGCGTTTGAATTGTGATGATGGCTGTAGTTTGCATGTGATGGATTGTCCCTGGGAATGCACAGACCAACCTTATCCGTCGCACCTGTGTTATCGAACGTCAACCACGCCTCACGATCCATCGCTACAACAGAACATCTCTTCGCTTTACGTAATGATTGCTTGAGAAATGCGCCCCAGCTTTCATTGGAGTATATGTCGAGGGCATGTCCAGCTCGCCGTCAAATTTGTCCTCCTGCGGACAGGCTGAAGCATCATCGAGCCGCACAGTGAACGGGAAGCAGCCAGTTGTTGAGGACGACCACAGTGATGAAGAGGAACTGCTGGCGGATGATCCGCTAGAGCGCGATCTACCTGAACAGTAAGCAGATGCAGCACATTTTTGATGTGCTCTATATTGAGATGCGTCTCCAGACTCTCCTTCAAGCGCAGACCCAAGGCATCCACGTCCTCCTTCGGCTTCTCGCGATACCTCCCCTCCTCCCTCGGTTCATCCAGCAACCGCACCTCGCCCCAGCCACGATCGCACCGCCCGAATGGCTCAACGGAGCTTATACTCAACTATCTCGATACACCTGGTAATGCGGGCGAACATCTCCAAGACACCAAAGACGCGAATGGACTAGACTGGTACATCGAAGGCCCCGGGCGGCGAGTTGGATACGACGACCTCACCGCAATTGATTGGATTTTCGAATACGCGAAGGAACGACAACGACTGCGCTACCTATACACTGGTTCCAGCGGTGTGCTTGGCCATATCAAACAGTTGGCGGATGCAAGCCAGGTCTGGATCATACTGGTTGCTGCCGGCATACTGAGCGGAGGGATTGCAGCCTTTATCGACGTGGCCAGTGATTGGCTTGCAGATCTCAAAACGGGTTACTGTCACAATGTTGATGGAGACGGGCGGTTCTACCTGAACAAGAGCTTCTGTTGTTGGGGAATCGAGGAAGAGCAGGCTTGCCATGACTGGAACTCTTGGGGCGCTGCCATGGGAATTGACAGCGTCGGTGGAAGATATGTTGTCGAGTACATATTCTTTGTGCTCTTTTCAGTGCTCTTCGCAGCATGCGCTAGCCTCCTGGTGCGAGAGTTTTCGCCCTATGCGAAGCACAGTGGTATACCTGAGATCAAGACTGTCCTGGGCGGTTTTGTCATTCGGCACTTTCTAGGCGGATGGACTTTGGTCACGAAGACGATCGGATTGTGCTTCGCAGTCGCTTCTGGTCTGTGGCTGGGCAAAGAGGGCCCATTGGTACACGTCGCATGCTGCTCAGCAAACCTGTTCATGAAGCTATTTGGTAACGTAAATGGCAATGAAGGTCAGGCTTGTTACCCCGCTGTTTTCCCAAATACACTAACATCAGAACAGCAAGGAAACGAGAGGTGTTCTCGGCCGCGGCTGCAGCGGGTATCTCAGTCGCTTTCGGTGCGCCCATTGGTGGCGTGTTGTTCAGTCTCGAACAATTGTCGTACTACTTTCCGGACAAAACCATGTGGAGCAGTTTCGTATGCGCGATGGTTGCTGCTGTCACGTTACAGGCCTGTAACCCGTTCCACACCGGGAAACTCGTCTTGTACCAGGTCACGTACCATAGTGGGTGGCATGACTTTGAGCTGCTACCTTTCGCATTTCTCGGAATCTTAGGTGGGCTATTCGGAGGCTTCTTCATCAAGCTCAATATGGGCGTTGCTGAATGGCGCAAGAACCGACAATATCTCAAAGGGCCAGTAACGGAAGTGGTCATTGTATCATTTATCACAGCGCTTATCAACTTTCCCATCAAGTTTATGCGCGCTCAGGCGTCCGAGCTTGTGCATATCTTGTTCGCCGAATGCGCAGACCTCAACGAGGACACACTCGGTCTATGCAAATCTGGCAAAGCGAATACAGGAGTTATCGCGCTCTTGCTCGTCTCCTCTGGACTGGGCATCATACTCTCAGGCTTCACATTCGGACTGCAGATTCCTGCCGGTATTATCCTCCCATCTATGGCTATCGGTGGTCTTTTTGGACGTGCTGTAGGACTTTCAGTCGAAGTGGTCCAGGCGGCGTGGCCAGCCCTTTTTGTCTTCAAATCCTGCGAACCGGACGTACCCTGTGTAACTCCAGGCACGTACGCTATTGTTGGTGCCGCATCAGCGCTTGCCGGAACGACACGAATGACTGTATCGATCGTGGTTATCATGTTTGAACTCACCGGAGCGCTCACTTACGTTCTGCCTATCATGATCGCAGTCATGATCAGTAAGTGGATTGGCGACGCAATCTCTCCCCGTGGTATCTACGAGTCCTGGATACACTTCAAGGGCTACCCTTTCCTTGACAATCGAGAAGACAATGGCTCTAGAATTCCTGATGTCGGCGCAAGCCATGTTATGACACGCATCGAGGACTTGACTGCAATCACAGCAACCGGTCATACCATTGGTTCACTGCGCCAGCTTCTATCTCAACATAGATTCCGTGGCTTCCCCGTTATAGACAACAGTCGCGATGCTCTTCTACTTGGTTACATTTCCAGAACTGAATTGCAGTACGCACTTCAACTCGCTTTGGCGCCTCCACGAAGCTTGGCTGCCGAAACAGAAGCTTACTTCTCTCATCAACCCCTCTCCGATCCCACGACATCACTCGATCTCCGACCCTGGATGGACCAGACACCGATTACCCTCAACGCCAAAGCTAGTTTCCAGCTTACCGTGTCCATGTTTCAAAAGCTTGGTCTCCGCTATGTTTTATTTACCGATCGAGGTATGTTGAAAGGCTTGCTCACCAAGAAAGACGTTTGGTACGTCATGAACGGCATTGAAGAAGAGCGCGAAGAAGGCGGTGCAGGCATTGGTGTCGGGAGAGGGGGACTTAGAGAAGAAGGCGATGATGACGAAGAGAGCGAAGAGAGGGGATTACTCGGTACACCAGAGGAAGAACAGGATGACTTCATTGGTGCGCACGACAGATAGTCCCGTGCAGAAGCTGTAGTTCTCATTGCACATGTACAAGTAGAAGCTGTGTAATCATTATCAAAAAGAAACTTCGAACTCTAATTGTAAGACGTGTTTCTGGTGATCTCACGGGAATCTGCAGATCCGGAGGATGGCAAGGATAACATCCGATCGTTGTTGTGGCAAGTTAGCCGTTGATCGGGGTGGGGAAGGCATGTGCGCTGGAAACCCACAAATAGAAGTCTCGCCCTCTGTTCCTGCAGGCACCGCTACAGGCTCGTTGCTTCGGCCTTCGCGACGTTTGTAGAAGGTCACGAGGTATGCCTGCATCGACAACGAAGGGCTACCTGTCCACCGCTCAAATACGCGCCAAGGCCACTGGCGTCCAATCATATATGCTTGTCATCTAGCGTTGTGTAAGCAGACAGTAAAGGGCCTAGCGCGTGGCTATACCGCGGCTTTCTTGCTACCTGCATAGACCCGCCCTTAACAGCCGGCCGCGCCCATTCCGACTTCAGAGCCTTTCACTCCTTCGGTCTTTGACGTGTCCCCTCGTTTTCTAAACGTCTTTGACCTCCCAAACAAAAGCAACACAATCTGAACCCGAGAATCAAAGATCTACGCCCATCATGCAACCCTCGTTAGCGTAGCGCAAAAGCACCCAGCGGCTATGACTGAACCTTGGCATACGTCGCGGACAGGACATCGACGACGATTACCGCGTTGAACAGATCTCACAGCTTGCCCGCCATTACGACACTCTACACATTTTCTTTTATTTTTCCCAGATCCACATCTACACACGAACTAGAGAGACGACATGGCGGCGACCGAAACTGAGAGAAAGAGCAGGAGGAAACATTCGTCATCGGCGAAGACTTCGAAACCACGTTCCTCCTCCAGGAAACCACGAGTATCGCCTTCAGTAGCAGATATGTACTTGCAAGATTATGCGCCTCCAGTCCAGGCGACTTCGCCTCAGCGTATGACAGCGACGAGGCCTACCCCACCTCTTTATGGCTATTCTGCAAGTCCACCTCAGCACGCGGTCTATCGTCAGATGCCTGGTTCTTTCCCAGAAGATGGTTATCTATATGGGTCTCCACCGCCGCAACCCGTTCAACCCTATGCCAGTCAATCGACTATTCGCTTTGCTTCTCCACCACCCCACGAGCCGCGCGGTCAAGGTCCATTCGAACAACAATGGAACAGCCTTGATCGGATGGCCGCCAAATCGTACAGGAATCTCCGAGATACGGCTGGAAAGAGTGTGACGAACCTGACTGCCAACTGCATCGAGCGACCTACGGCAGCTGTCGCTACCAAGAGCATGCAGACTTTGTGCAAAGGAGCTGCGCTGTACGACATAATCAGCTCAAAATTCGACTCGGTCATCACCAGTATCGACGACGATCACTTCAGCGGCAAAGAACAGGATCTCATGATGGAGTTCAGTGAGCAGCAGCAGGAAGAGGCCCAGAGAACGAGTCCGCCACTCGGCGAACCCAGACGCCGTCGTCAACACGACGTGCAATCCCACTCTAGTAGCGACAAAGGGTCAAATCACTTTTCAAAAGTGTGGCTTTACTCTAATTCCCGACTACCGCCTCATTTGCCGCCGTTCAAGGTCTATCTGCCTACATATCCCCTACTTTGCTTAGCAGCAACCTACTCGGAGAAAGCCTACACGCCTCCAGGCACGAAGAAGAATCCTGAAATGGAGACCTTCATTCCTGCTGATTGGCGCAGTGGAACGAAAGCCATGGTACTCAAGTCCATTCCTGTGGAAGAACTGAACACTATTGTCTTCGCCATTCGCGGAAGTCAGACCTTTATGGACTGGGCTGTCAACTACAACTCGGCGCCTCACAGCCCAGAAAAGTTCCTCGACGACCCTTCGAATTTATGCCACGCTGGCTTTCTTTATGTGGCAAAGAAGATGATCAAGCCCGTGGCAGAGCGTTTGAAGGTTTTGCTTCAAGAAAACCCTGCACGTTCTAATTGCAGTTTGCTCATCACCGGTCACTCCGCTGGCGGAGCCGTCGCCGCACTGCTTTATGGGCATATGATGAGCACGAAGATCAATTCTGAGCTTAATTATCTCACGAGTTTCTTCAAGCGTGTCCACTGCGTCACGTTCGGTGCGCCACCTGTTACTCTGTATCCGCTAAAGAAGCCTGATGACAAGCGCCATCGCAAGAGTCTCTTCTACGGGTTCATCAACGAAGGCGATCCTATACCGCGAGCGGACAAGAGCGTGCTGAAGAGCTTGCTGAAGCTCTATGCCAGTCCAGCACCCGTTGCTGTTTCAAACATAGCTTTAACCATCACATCAATGTCCAGGCCCAACCTCCCAGACCCGTCGCAATCTTCTCCACCTAAGACAAAATCTAAGTATGGTTTTGCCCAGCGACTTAGCAGGCCTTCCAAATCCTCGCTACAAACAAATACGTCCAGCTCTACCTCTTCAACGCTTCCAGCGTGGCCTATACCAGCGTGCACTTTATCACCTGCAGGCCGATTAGTGGTACTTAGGCAGCGTGTTGGAAGCAGGGTTGAAGACGAAATCGAAGCAGTGACTGTGGATGACGAGATGCTGGGGAAGGTTGTATACGGCGATCTGCTGAAACACCAGATGGCCGTTTACAAGAAGAGGATCGAGAACGTCGCTGTTAGAGCGGTGACTGCGAATGGGTGTTGAGTAGCAGAGATGGGTTGAATGTACATGAAGTTGATAACCGCACACAGAAATGAATGAGCGATGAATTTATGTACCCAAATTTTTGAACTTCTGTTCTTATTCCCCTGTGCTGCTGTATTGCCTTTTTCCAGTTTCCGTGTGTCAAAATCTACCAACCACGCTGTCGCCAATGCTTCAGATCCTAGGAGCGAGATGGCGGCTTTCCATTGCATGGAAGCATGGACTGCACAACAGAGGATACCACCTCGTCTACATTTTCTACCATACAAGTTTCAACGCTCTTCTGTATCACGTCAGCTGCTACGGGAGCGGCACTCCTTCTACTTCCTTACTTATGTAATGTTCACAATACGAGTGAGTCATCGCACAGCTAACAGCATGAGAAACAGATGTGTCTCATCCATAAGAAAGTCGCAAATTTATGGACGTTGAAGACTCTTCTCTACAAGAGTGTAGAATGAGGGAACAAACGCCAAGCTAGGAAAAGCTATCATAATTCGGAACACTCCTCATCTCTGTTGATACCGAGCGAAAGATGATTGAGAGTATTGCGAAAAGCGTAAATACCAAGGCTCTTGGCTTTGGCAGAAGGATAGCTTGGCTGAGAGTTGTTTGCAATGAATTAGCTTAGGAACTGCAAATTGAATCAAACAAATCCCGTTCTGAACATTGTTGTCATCTTCCATACAAACCTTCACCAGTGTCCTTCAGCTTATTGTTGTTTGAGTGGCGAGATCACGTTATGGTTTTGTAATAAGAACAAGTGAGACGTGCATTGATCCATGCCCAAGTTTTAACTTTATCAAAGGGTGTATCGACGGCGTCATCTCGCTCCCAGAGTTCCTAAACGCAATTGCAACAATGCCTTTGCAATGCCATTGTTTGAGCGAGAAAAATACAATTAGTGATCAGCATCCTAGATATCCGCCACTAGGTTTCCTTGCGAAAGCAATCAACTCATCTTCGCAATGCCGGAGCGAAATGACGGAATGGCCAGCTTAGCATCTTAGTAATGTAAGCCCTACGCTACAAAACCACCTCCCTCCCCACGTATCCGTTCATTATATTTTGCCCATTTTAGAGCCCTTTGTACTGCCATATGACAAGTTTCGCAGGTGATTGTTTTCCCATATTCGAGCGGTGGGCACCAGCTCATCGGTGGAAAGGGTCATGCTCGCTGATCAACCTTGCATGCTCGCTCACCCAACAAGTCAGCACCTCAGCTCACTCAAACGACAACTCCGTACATCTTCGTCCATGAATGAGCGTATTGTATCTTCAGGCCACCTCTGGATCAACACAACGTTGGCTGTGCGACCCAGCAAAGCAGGCAGCTATGCTCTCGCCTAGCACCTACTGTACCCCGTCGGCGAGAAGATGCGCCGATTGTGGATCTCCCTCGTGACCTTCCGCTGAAACTCGTCCGCGTCGCAAACAATTGGAGACACATTGCGTAGACCTAACTATAGAGAACACAGCGCCAGGACTAACACGACAGACAATTTAGGAGAGGTACAAAAGGCAGACAGACGGCCATTCTACGGGAATACTCGGGCAATTGTACAGGAAAAAACCAACACGAACTCCCTCAATTGATCACTACACAAACGACGAAATGGCGATTATCCAAATCCCCAGCGAGTACGGGTACGTTCAGTCTCGACTGCGATAGCAATGACAATGGCAGAAGCCCCCATACACCTCTCAATAGTCTCCCTATCAGAACCAGCCTCCTCACCAAACCAATTAAGAGACCACCGACTAACTTATGCTCCACAGCTATGTCCTCGCCGCCTGCGTTTCCACGTTCTTCGTCGGTGCCTGGCACGGTGGCCGCGTTGGCGGCTTCCGCAAAGCAGCCAAAATTCCGTACCCCTACGAATACGCATCCTACGAACAAGTTCAGACCGCCTCTCCCCCATCAAGGTCCGCTATGCTTGCCTTCAACTCGGCCCAACGCGCGCACCAAAATTTCAATGAGAACCACGTCACAGCCCTCGGTGCCATGCTCATCTCCGGACTGAGGTACCCCGTCGCTGCGGCCGTATTGGGTGCGGTATGGAGTGTAAACCGTGTAATTTATGCGATTGGATACTCAAGGAGTGGGGAGGATGGTGGAAAGGGAAGGTACTATGGCGCGCTTGGAATAATCGCGCATTATGTACTACTGCTTATGAGTGGTAAGGCGGCTTTTGACCTTGTCATGGGTTAAGCAGGTTACAGGTGTGGGTACGAAGATGTGAACTGAAGATACCTTATAGCTTGATGGCGTGGCGACACACATTTAAATGCAACTTGTCAAAAGGTACTATCTACGCTTCATTGGTGATGATCTGAATGTGAGCTGCAGTCTTTCCTTCGGAACAAACTCTCCTTATGAGGATTTCAAATATCCTGTATTATCTCAGTACCCCAAAGTCTTGCATAGTCCGAGCTCATGTCTGCTCTCTGGAAAAACATGCTGCTAGCCATGCTTTCGCCATTCATATACATGGGCTCTCTTCCCGAAAACCCACGCTCACACTTCTGTCTTTCCAGTAAGCCCCGATACCTCTAATGCACGTATAGTGCCCTGTACGTCCTACATTTCGTCAGCCATTTTGAACCGTGCACGTCGAGGAATGAGAATACTTACTGGGAACGCAGCAAGTAGACACAGAATATTGCCAGCTAGGAAGAGGCCGATTGACGCAGCGATCTGAATAAGTAGCAGCCTGGCGTGCTTCCATAACTCATCATTCGGGACACGCGAGTGAAGGACAATTACAGCGATGGGCGCTGCAAGCAGTCTTTGGGTTATCCGTCGCCATTTGTTGTAAAGAGAAAGGAAGCCTGGGCTGTAATTGCCGTTCTGCAACTGGTGGTTGGTAAGATCAACGTGCAGTTGAAACCCTCGGATGAAGCACAAGAGACCAATAGCAGCTAGGATGTTAAGCCACTCGTGATGACGTGTTGCAGCCGAGCACTCCAAGCCCTTCTCTAGCAGACGCATGCATTGCCTGCGAACAGCGCGGTCGGTTACAAAGGTAGATGCTATAACCCGCGCTATTTGAACAACAAGTAGGCTGATGGTATACTGTACGCCGATGAAGAATTGGCTATTGAACACTGGCTTCGCCGAAATCATAGAGCGACGATCACGGCTAGTACGAGCTAGTGATGAGAGTAGTCGTGGAGTTAACTCTGGGGTTTCAAGTCTGTCGTCGATGAGGATGTACCCGTAGGTTTGGCGAGTGTAGCGAGCTAGACATAGACAGACCGTGTCATAAAATTGAGAGAAGACAGCGACAACAAGCAATGTGACGAGAGCGGCGTTGACTGACATCGAAAGATTCATGGCTAGATAGAGAAGGGGATCTCAATGTGTAAGTCAGCTGATGTTTTGCCTGGCATATTGGAGACAAATACGTACTTCCCTGCCACAACGTAAGCCATACAGGCTGCACGTGTGTTCCTTGCTGCGACATATTGGTTGTGAGTAATTTCAGTTGAGAATAGAAGGAAATTGGATGAGTAGAGTGTCAACGACACAATCGATATTTTATCTGTGCCACTTAGCGTGGTGGAGGTGAGTGCGCTTGTCTCCTTCATAGTTTTGCACTTTCCTCGCCTCGAACGCAAACACGTGAAGCTGTCAATCGTTCAGCTTGCTGCAGGCAATCTCCTGCGCTTTCACTTTGACTGACTTTACTCCCGCTCGTACATGCAGAACTCAAATTTGACACCCTGTTCCTCAATTCCACCTTCTTGGATCTCTTCGCCAGTAAAGTTCTGCACCTCCTCTCTGCTACTATTCCTCCATATCGTCGTCTCGTCCAGGTTGATCGGGAAGAAAGTGTCGCACTCAAACTCTTTGTGAATCTTTGTGAGAAGCACTCGCTTCGTTTGTGGAAGCTCCAGCGCCGTGTTGTATATAGTTGCTCCACCGATGACAAAGACTCTGTCCAACTCGACATTCGAGCTTGGCAACTTGTTTTCTTGCTGACTTTCAAGCTGTGACAATGCGTCCAATACGCTAGAGCATACCATTGGCCCTTCCACATCGCTCTTCTTGTCTAGTTTACTCATAAACTCTTTAGGGTTTGAGGTGATGACAATATTCAACCGATCCTTCAGGGGACGGAATTTAGGTGGTATGCTCTCCCAAGTCTTGCGGCCCATGAGTATAGCATTCACTTTCTTGACGCCTTCTGTTGATGTAGAAGGCGACGTGCGCTTGGTCACTCGTGCGAAGAACCCCATCTCTTTCTTGAGCTGTGGCCATGGCAGGCCTCCACTGTTGCCTATGCCAAGATTCGGTGTGGCTGCGAGGATAAGAGTAAGAGTTGGAGGTTTTGGTGGCATGTCAGAGACGTTTGTATCGCGAGCAGCTGAGTTTTCCTTCGATGTCGTGCTGATTGGCTTGGTAGAAGGGCAATCGTCGGACATGGCGTAGTGCGTTTTACCGCCGATCAAATTTGGACCACCGAAAGCTTGATCGTGAAATCGAGATGTAAGCTGTATGAATGCCTGACGTGGGATGTTGCATTAGTTGCATGCGGGGCCACGATCACGCTAGCGACAACGCGAGAGAACGTGATCCAGCCCTATGGGCTGAACATTTCCGCTAGAGCGTACCACGTTGCTAGACCTAGGTCAAAACATCCTCATATTTCTTTAGCAGTCTCCGTCAAGTCACGCTCAGCAGGAACCGGTGTGACTTTCGCACGAGTTCACATTCTCGTACAGACTCGAGGTATAATACACAGGCTGATTGCCCTTGTTCATGCACACGAAAATCCAACACCAAAGACACACGCTGACAGTACGACACGCAGCGCTGCATCATCCCATCATGCCCAATCCGAAACCCTGCCACTCGCCGAAAATGGCCAAGACACAGAACGCCGATAATTACACCTTTGCAATGCCGCTACCCGGTTGAAATCATTTGCATGAAGAAGCAAAATCCCGTACAACCCCTTTCATACAACGTCGTTCTTGCTTGCCGAGTTTCCAATGGGTATCTTTTGAGTTCTTTTAAGGCTTGCTGTGCAGCAGAAATACGGGTTTCCTCCACATGCTCGATTGTTGCTCACTGTTGCGGAGACATACGATACTATTCGCTTTCGCCACCCTCACCACTACTCTTGAGTGGTATTGACAATGAAATCTTCTTTGGCGTCCCACCACTGTCCTTGCCGGAGTTCACATTGGGCGACTTCCTACGCAGACTCCGCAGACTCCCAGAACTAGCGTTACTAGACGTCGAAGCGCGTCGCTTGGGTCCAGCAGAGGTGGAGATGCTTGCAAGAAGCTCGTCTTCTTCGTCCTCCTCTCGTCGGCGCTTCTCCGATATCCGCTCTGGTGGCGATCCTGCGGATGTCGAACTTGGCGACGTAGCTTCTTCTGGCGTTTGAGTTGTTGGAATCTTGTGAGTAGAGGCAGCCACGTCGCTTGCGAGATCGTCCATGTCGGCATCGTCAGCATCGTCATCTGGGTAGTTGACGAGAGGTCGCACCGGCGATGCGCCGTTCATGGCAAGTTTTCCAGCTCCAGACAGATGGTCGTCCTCGTCATCTGACGTATTGAAGTAAGCCTCTTCATCTGGGTCCACTTCCTTCAGACCTTGTCCCCACTTTCCACCGTTGATGGCAGTAGCATGTCGCGCAGGTGTATCGCTATCCACACTTGTGAAGGAATTGTCCATCTCTTGGGTAGTTACCGGTTCATGGTTTTGGTCATACTTGAGTATCAAGTTCTGGAACGTGTCGACGTAGGTAATGTCTTGTAGCTTTTCTCTGTATGTTTCAACAAGATGCTGGACAATCATCTTGATGTTCTCGCGCCTGATGAATTCGAACAGCTCCAAACATGCCGAGTTGAGGAGGTTGTCGCGAGGCATGGTATCGAAGAGTATCTTCAAGATCGGCTCGAAAAGTTCGTGTTGGATGATCTGTCGATTATGCGTCTCGTCGTGGAAGCCAAGTACAGTGCGGAAGTATTTCAGCGCGGCTAATAAAGATTAGTAAATTGGGATGAAGCAATCCCTGGGAGACTTACTGAGCTTCAGATGCTTTTCTGGGCAACCCATGAGTTGGGCAACCCGCACCGCCAGACCTTCTGAAAGGATAAAGTATTTGCTACGGAAAGAATGCTGGCGAATAAAGAAGCACAGAACTTCAACGAGGTGAGCGTATAGTGAGACTTCTTGCATCGATAGATCGTCCACTGCGTTGTGTTAGTTCAAAAGGCAACGAAATGAAGAGTACCACTCACTTGATTCCCGGCCCTCGAGGTCTTTGAGAGGCTGGAATAACTTCCTCGCCGACTCATCGTAGAAGTTCTGTATGAAAGAGTCTGTTTGGGGTATGGACGGCAACTGTCCCCTCATTTTGGCAAGGAAGTCACTATTCGTCCGCCCGAGCGCTTCTATAGAAGCCGAGTTGGCGTTGGGATCAAGTAGAATCTTGATCGCATCAGCCATCTGCGCCTTGACTCCAAGGTCCACCTCAATAAGGAGCAGCTCGATCAAGGTATCGGTGAGCGGCTTGGACTTCTCCTGAATAGCCTTGAAGATATAGCTCCGCACCATCAGCGCGTCATGGTCGATCAGCGACACGAGTATATCGGTTCCCGCAACACGAACCGAAGCGTCCTGGTGCTTGAGCGCAAATTGGATTACTTCTAGCAGGCCGCTGCTGATGAAGTTTTGATATAGCTGCGCTCTCACATTCGCTTGCAAGCTCTTCGCTATAGCGCAGCATTGCTGAATGAACAGCACTGCGTCCTTCTTTCTTGCCAAGTTTTGCTCCTTCGGAGAGAAGATGCTGAAAAGCTCCTTCAAGAATGGACCGTTCGCTTGGAGATGCTGGACGATATCGACTTGGTGGAAAAATATAAGCGAGTTCAGAACGCTGAACGTAGGGTCGTCGAGGATGCGCGCAAGAACAACATCCTTAAGGTATTGAAGTCGGTACGTGTAGTGGATCTTCCGCTTTATGTTCTCGTCCTCTATCCGTACGACCTCTTTGAACTTGGATTCGTCGGCAAGGTACTGTCGGTGATTGGCTTTGTGCAGAGGAAAGTCTGGGTCGTCTATGCGATGTCAGCAAGCCATGCGGGAGGTCGCAGAGACCAGTACTCACACTCCAATGCCCCAACGACTCCCAAAACCACCGGGTCTGTTACAACGTATTCGATGATGGCGGTGTCGTTGAGCAGGATGAGCATCTTCACGATGCTACATAAGCGGTGTAGGTCCGAGACACTTTCGAGATCTTCTGCCATGTCTACAAGTGGGATGAGTTTCGGTATGTAATCTTGGGCGAGTATGAACTTGGCCAAGGCTTCACGACCGCCCGGCGTCGAGTTGGCAGCGCGCATGTGGTTCTCGATTTCGTGGAGGTTGCCAAGATCGGGACTTGGGAGTAATATGGGACTAATGTGATCGATGTCGTCTGAAAGACCATCGTCTATGTCAGCATTAGCTCGCTTGAAGCTAGGCGCGATTGATATCACGTACCCTGAGCGAGTGCTTGCAGCCGCGATTGGACTTCGTTCACAAAGTCCCTGTTATGTATTAGCACATGGCTTCAACTGCAAGGCATTCCGGCTCACCATATGCTGGCGCAGCCCTCTGGCTCCTGGAAGCTGAGGGCCATGTCGGTGCCATTCTGCTCGGTCCAAACGATGAGTGTGTCTGCAAGTGTTCAGCTGATGTCTTCCCGCAGCAAGATATGGGCGCATACCCTGTTGTTTCTGGTAGCCGTCATCTTTGGAAATGCGCGTTTCGAGCAGTTGTCGCGACTGGTCGTCCTCGGATAGGACTACAATTCTCGCTTCCTCTTGCTGCAGTCGCACAAGTCAGCCTCGAGCCTTTGCAGAGGGTCAAATAGCGGGAGTTGCGCAAACACGGCGCCCAAACGGTCCAAGACATAGGGAAACATACGCTTGCTACGACGCCCTTGCAGAAGCCAGTGCCTCGATCGAACCAGTCATTGTTCTTGAGCTCGTATACCTTGACGCGCTTTCGTTCACTCGCAGGTGGCGGAGCGACGTTTGCCATAGCCGGCGGCGGCGTGTCGACACTCTCCGGCTAGGGCGTGTACCCTCCGGAGGCAGGCGGGCTGTCGCGATCGTTTGCGCAGTGTGGAGGGGATAATTGGCGGTGGATAGGGCGGAGGTCGGGGGTGCGGTGATCGGGGCGGCTGGGTGTTGTGCTGGCGGATGACGATTAGGAGGCGCGGCAGCGCTTTCGGGCTGTCGCAGAGCTCGGCAGCGCGATTAGAGGTGTGTCGACGGGTAAGCCCCTGCGCGCGCAGCAGTGGAGAGGATAACGCGATGGCGCGTGACGGGAAGGGTGATGGTGATCAGCCTCGGACACTTTGCAGTCGCGTCGTGGGTCGCAAAGTCGAAGCGGGAGAGCACAGGGCCGGGCTTGGGCACAGTGCATGCACTAGCTTGGGAGCGCAATGCGAATATCGATAAGAGCCTAGACCGGCGGCAGCAGCAAGAGCCTCAACACCACGCTGAACCCTGGAGATGGCTGCGATGTTTGTGCGCGATCTAACAGATGTTGCGGGGTAAGGTATGCAGTCGCCCGATTAGTTTCCAAGGTTGGGGTGAATGAGTGCAGCAGCTTTCGCCTCGTATGACGGGTAGCCCGAGGAATGCGCGCTTGCCCACGGCCTCACTGACGCAATCTTCTTGGCACAACCACACTCAACACCACGTCTACTGTGCCCTCTGTCGAGCTTTATTGTCCTTTCATGGCGCTTGCTGCACAGTATACGATGCCTTCATCCACGTTCTACTGAGATCCTGCCACGCATGGGCGAAGTCGCGAATCACGACTTTTCGACACCTGTCATCGGAAACAGTGGGCTGGTGGTACCATCAACCAACTGTCCCACTCAGTAGGACCGAAAACTCCATGGATGATCGACTGCTAATGTTAGCATTTTCTATCTCGAAAACATCGGTCGATTGCTGTGCTTATCGTAAGCACATGACTCGACACCTATACCTGCCACCACTATAATGCTGCTCTCGTCTGTCAGACAACAAGTGCGCGCTCGTTCGCCCCACCGTCACGTGCTGTTCATCATCTATCCCAGCTTCAGATGGAAGATGTCATGGGTGTACGTTGTGCAAGCGAGATATTGACTGCAGACTGAAGGTGCCATCTTGAGGCACCCGTCGATGTAGCTACACTAAGGCTCATTTGACCAGCATCGGACTCTCCCTCCGCTTTCATCGTATTGCCAATTCCTATCTGAGTTGCAACTAAACTCCAGTTAATACTACTACTAGGAGGCAACTCCTTCTCATGAGATCAAATCCATTCTCTCCAGATAACCTCGATAGCCACCAAACGGGTCATATCCATCTTCAAACGGTTAGTTGGCGAGTCTCGACTCTTGATACGCTGTATTCCTTTATAGAGCGAATGTGCTTTTCCAACTGCAGGACCGACAGCCACAAGTATGCGCGATGCGGGACAATGCTTCCACGCAGCCGGTGGCCTGAGTCGCCCATATTCAAACGTCCCAGTCCGCAACGCCAACGACAAACCCTGAGACGCGTCATTGAAGCCCATGGTCCTGCGCGAACTGTCACCGTTGCGACGAACTCAATGAACCATCAACTAGGCGGACGCCTCCTCATATATTCTACCAGTCTTGACAATCCTAACTATAGACACGGCACACTTCGATGCACCGGCACTAGGTCTAGCCTTAGTCTTCCAGGGTATGGCGATGATAGCGTGGGAGGCCAATCACCAACTTACGAAAACGCGCCATGGTCCGCGACCATTGCCGCATTCGTCCGTCTGTGGCATGTTGAGAGGCCAGACTCAGGTGCTCGTATACGGGAGCTGAGGTGTGTCGGAGGTCGCTAAACAACTTGGGTTTGTTTATCAACGCTCGCTAGCCTTTTTCGAGTTTCAGCAGCTGCGCCTCACAGAGGGATCTGCATCTGAAGCGCTAGAAGCAACGGCGCATGGACGGAAACCCAGTTCCCACGCTACGCAAGTGCCTCTCCCGCCCGTCTGTTGGGAAATCATAATTATCCATTATAGATTGCGCTGGCTACCCCAGAGGCAGGACACTTTCCACAAACAACTTCACACTGGGTCTCAACAACTGCACCACAATTATCATCAACCACCAATGATGTCCACTTCCATGAAACACAAGAGTATACCAGCAACATTCAACGAAAAAGAGCCCGCTGCTACTGCAAAGTCTCCGAGACCCACATCTGCGCCGTACCCAAACTTTTCCAAACCTCTGGCAAAAGAAACTGCACCTACTACAGAACCCAAATTAGTTGCCGCCGAAGAACTACAGGCCCGGATCAAAGCTGCGAGAAGGAGCAGAACCGCTACTCAGCCACTGCCTGAAGCAGTACGACGCAAACTCGACCATTCGTCCGACCTCATACACCCAGCCCTGCGCGCCAGGAGCGGCGTCACACCAAACTCCAACCGGCCCACCAGTCACAGGACCAAGAGTCGTGAAGATCTATCCATCGATGCTGTGATTCGGCGCCTGTCGATGGAGATAGATGGACAGAACAGCACCAAAGGACGCCAACTTCCAGACGACATACCTCCAGTACCGACGTTACCAGCCTTTCCGCCCGCTGCGAGCTATCGTCCACGACCCCGCCCGACCGCGAGCAGAAGGTCTTCCATGACGATGAGACGAAGTCCCTTGTCAAATGTTTCGTCTCCGGACGGTAAGCAGGAAGACGTTGGTTCTAGAGAAGTATGCTAATTCTTAGGTACAGACTCTGCAGAGACTTCCTCCCACACATCCAGACGTACTTCAGCTTCTTCTCGTAAGCGTTTCTCACACTTCTCACACATACCTACTAATGCTCAACGTAGGCACATCCAAGTCCGAAGAGTCTAAAGACGGCGGTGACGATAACGACGAGATGGTGCGAGTTATCACTACAGAAACATCGAAAGCTAGGCTCGCAAAGCGGAAGCATATCTCGGAACCTCCGGCTGTATCTCAGCCCCCTCCCTCGATTTTGCGATCCACATCACAGCGGGCCAAGAGTCGGAGTTCATGGCACACAATCTCTCGACGCAGTATACTCTGCTCAGTATGATGACTCCACCTTCGTATGTCATGCCATCGGCCTCCGATATATCACAGAACATCTTTATTTTGCATTTCAGCGTTGTCCTATATTGTGCAAGGGGTTTTGGCAGCACGGCGCTTGGGAATGACTCTTGCTATCTGAAACTGTTTTGCTTTCACATGACGATTGAGAAGGATTTGAGCGTTCAAAGGGGCACAAATAGCGCAGGAGTTTTGGCGTTTTTTTCTCATGTGTTTCAGCAGACGACATTACTGAGCATGGTCTATTGCAAATCTACGCAATTAGTCCGCAACATCAATTATGATAATCTTACGACATCACTCATCTTACGTCTTGCCTTATCTCTCTCGTATGCTCAGACGAAACAAGCCTCGCCTGGATCCTCCCATGCATCTCAAGCACGTTTATCGATGCAGATCCACTTCTCTGGAAGCAATACTTGTTCGACCTATGCAAGCCACCAGCCACAAACGGGACGGGCTCCGAACCTGGTCGGCAATACAGCAAGCTGCAGTAGTCGGCGCTCCACTGGCCCTGTAACAAGAAATCGGACATTGTGCCGTGTCAAACAGGCTAGTGAAAAGTGGTAGTTGCGCGATAAGGTGCGGCGCACCCGGGTCTACAAGCCTAGCCAGCCAGCCATTGTGATCCAGGAACGTGGCTTTCGGATGCAGGGTTGCTATCTGCGGCCGGCACCACGGGCGTACGGTGAGACGGCTTATCCCAGTAACCATGATAGCAGGCCATACATGCGATGATCGTCGACTCTGGATTTCTACGATGAGGAAGCAATGTACAACGTCTCCAAAATCAATGGGCATCAGGTGGAGACGGGTATGGCGGCCGTTCCTGACGATCATCCGTGCTGGTGACGATGGTTTCGTTTACGCGAACGGCCGAACGTCCACAGAACGTCAAAGTCAGCCTCTTCGTCTGCTGGCTCGCGACCCGCCACCCCCATGTACAACTAATTGACAAATTGTCAGCTAAACCTTTACTCGTCTTCAGCAAGCTTTTGACGTCGTCACCGTCACCGGGGCAGGTGAACAGGCACCCGCAATCCGATTTGACATGGCGCGTTGCTACCAGGTACCGGGTCCATGACACTATTACCAGGGAAGAATGGATAAATTCTTCGGTCCCAGATTCGCGACACACGGGGGCCCCCTAGAGGACGTCATGCCCAGGGTCGATCAATAGCGCGATGCGACGCCGAGGTTTTGGGTTGCGGAGGCTATAATGTTCAGGCTTTCGGAACCGTAAACCGGAACTTTGGGATGTGCATCTTCAGTACCTGGATTCTGACGCGAATCCGAGGCCTACTTACTTTCGGCACGGAATCCCCGCGATGATCACGATGGCGATCACATGCGCTACATGCAGGGCAAACTTGCACAACTTGTGCGACGCGCGTTATCGATAAGCCACTGGATCGAGCTGGAATTCACTCCCGAAGCTCCGCAACTCACTCCACGCCAACTCCATCCACCCCGCCATGAATCCCTCGGAGCGGACGAAAGAGGCACTTCTCGGTAAGTCCGCTACGCATTCGTCTTTGTTGACCGCCGACTCTCTACCGCGATGCTATGCTCACAGTAGAACGCCTTCTGACGGTTTCCCAGCCAAGACAGAAGCATTATGCGGCTCCATCATAGACACGCGCAAAGATGACCCTTGGGGTGGTGACGGTTACCTCTCAACCATACTCCGTGCTGTGAAGATGCAAGATGCGACCGACTACTCAGAAGACGATACGAGAACCGAGTTTCCGCCTGCATTGGACTATGCAACGTCTGCACAAAGGGAGTTATTGATTAGAGAGCAAAGTGCCGCACTGGTCAGTTCACACTTGCACCACCAGCGTCGGATGTTTGGTTATGCTAGACCCGTGTGGATCCGCCCGGCATACACACTGGATGCTAACAGACCATAGATCAGAACGGCCCAAGGCATATCGACACTCGTACGCGACCTACAAGAACTTTGGCTCTTCGGTGGTCTCGATACTCTCTCGGATCCTGCCGACGAAGAAACGAACCGGACAAAGGCACTTGCAGTCGCGGAGATGATTGAAGCGCTGGCCAAACAGGGACCAGGCGGTATAAAGCAGAAGGAAGACAGCACAACCAAGAAGGAGACAAACGGGGAGGCTTGAGGTGACAGAGCTATGCGAATCTACTTTGCCATACTGTGGTCATCTGATGTTGTAGAAAACACAGTGAGATGAAGGCAAGTGCTGCCAGTATTTGATACCCCGGAGGACCTGTCCCCAAAATTAGGATTACATGAAGCTATTACCTACATGTCATAACTATGCACTTGGATCTTAGTAGTAGCTCCGAAGAGTATCTGGTTGGTTTTACCAATATGTGAATATCGCTTTACCTCCTTGTCTACGTAATAAACGATACGGCACTGAGGAGGGTACATACGACTAGTAACTGCTAGGAAAGGCTTCGTATAGTTGCTTGTGTGGAGTCGTTGAAACGTGGTCATTTTTCGAGTATATGTCTTATGCTCCCGTAGTTGTGGTGTGGAACCGACATTGTGACAGTAAGACATACCCTTGTTGTTATTTTGAATCATGCATGTACTGCCCTAGAGATGAGTTTGAAATCTTCTGAGTCACAGAAACAGTTATTGCAAACCAGCCAAATGCTATCAGACTTTCTGAGTGTTTATCATGTTGAAGAGGAGTCGGCAGGTATTGTTGACTTCGGAGAAGACCAGCTGGAGTTCCATGAGGAATGCCTAAGTACAGTAACCCCCGGATCGGCGTGCAATACATTCGGTTCAGGCAAAGTCCAACTAGATCGATCAGCTCAGATACATCCCCTAAAGATGGACGGAAAGCGATTCTTATTTCGTGTTGAGACCAATTGCAAGAGCCATATGGAGCGGGTTGGCATCGAAATCCTGCCTGAAGCATATCTGACAACATCACCCAAAAATGGAAATCTATCGGTACCTTTGCAAACGAAGACGAGTAGATAGCCTCGGTACACCTCCATCACGTTTCCATGCAATCGTATCTCTGCCTTGGATTTTCAGACACAAAACCTTGAAGCAGATGTATAAACTAATTCTTGTATCCGAACACCCCCAAGGGCACCACACCAAGAAAACGGATTCCTGTGGTCAACCTCGATGAAGTGCAAACACATATCGGCGCGACTATGAAAGTAGGCGATGGTAATATCGTTTCAGACGTGAGTTGGCAGTATTTAATATTTTTATGTGATACGTTCTAGTCACAAGGCTGACAGTAAGGCTGCAAAGAACTCCGTTCGTAGTGGAGGTAGGAAGCAACGAAGACGGTCTAGTGAGGGTTGGCAGTAAGCCAAGGTACATGATCCAGAAACGTTTTGGGTCCTTACTACGACCACGTCATTGAATCTAGACAGAAATTGTGCATGGAGCAACATTGAAACTAGAATCTGTGAAGGTAGCAAGATGAGACTCGTCTTTTGAAACAGTAACTAGGTATGTAATGATAGGTTCATTGAAGAGGAATTCAACGACATAGCCTTCGTTCAATGGGCAACTGAAATGATTGGAGGCTTGCTGATGTCAAAAACAAGTAAATTAGAGAGATTGTGATAGAACGATCTTTTGGGTAAACCTAATCGTCTACCCTGATCTTCATACCGAACTCGTTCAGTGTCTTCACATATTGATCTCCTAGTGTCGCAGGTGTCAGGATGCCACCTCCGAGCTTTCCCGCTTCGCTCTCCTCCAGCCTGCCCCGGAGGATAACTTTAGCAGCAGCACTGAGTGTCATTGCTGTTGCAACATAACCACCATGCGCGACTTCAAGGTTCGCAATCACCTTCCTCCCATCTTCGGTACTGCCAACTCCACGGTAGTGCATGAAGTCCTTCTTCATGCTCTCCTTTGACGGTCCCTGACCAGGGCTTGGGATGACCACCTTGAGAAGAGGTTCAAGCAACCAGCGCGTTACTGGAATGGCAAGCAGAACAGCGACTGAGGTAAGAACCACTTTTTGCGCAAAACCGAAGAACAGATTGGGTGCACGCGCGTACTCGTTGAAGCGAAACTTGGGGCCGTACTGTAGTGTCTTGTCACCGGAGGACTGGTACAGACCCCATGAGCGATGCGCAATGCACACGTCGACACTCGCCATGAGTCCAGTCGTCTGAATACCTCCGAGTTCGGGAATGGTTTGCAGGCCGAAAAGGTTGTACGGAAAGCTTCCCGATGGTGATGCGACAACGTTGTCTGCGTTGACGGGCGACAGAGAGTATGGGTGCATTGACTTTCCGAGATGGCTGAGAGAGTACTTCTTGAAGAGCTCCAACATGGTGAGGGATGTTCCGCCACTGATACCGGACTTGAAGTCGTACAGTGTCATGATGGCGCGCTCGCAGGGGGCGTTGTGGCGCTTGCGCACCTCCCGCGCGAGCACATACGCCATGATGTCCGCAGGGACGGAGTCGAGACCACACTCGGGTATAATAATAGTTTTGTTCTTCTTCGCAAGCTCATCGTACTTGGCGACCATGTCGTAGATCCATGGCACTTCACCAGTAGAGTCCAGATAGTGCGTGCCATTGTTGACACAGGCGGCAAGGACAGGCTCACCGTAGTGCATGAAGGGGCCTACTGTCGTGATGATGAGTGTCGTCTTCTTGACAAGAGCCTCCAATTGCTGACGCTCAAGCTCGCATGTCTCGATGGCTGGTGTTCGTTAGCTCCATCCCGAGCCTCGTCTGTCACATGTTTGGAACGCAGATTCTAGCGCACATACCTGGCTGCTTGCGATTTGGCCTCAGCTTCGTCAGCTCGTCAACTACGCCCTGCAACTTCTTCGCATTACGTCCTGCGACAGCCCACTTCAGATCGTCCGGCAGATGGGTGGTGACCCATTCCGCAACAAGTTTTCCAGTGTAACCCGTCGCCCCCAGCAAGATTAGCTCGTATTCCCGTGATTGCTGAGCCATGACGCTATACGTGTATGATTGAGAGAGAGAAAAGACGACAAGACGAGAGAATATCGATCAGGAGATGGTGTGGCTGTAGCTAGGGGGAATTCCTAATCATCAAATACTACGCGACTCGGACAAGACCCTTCTTTTGGTATGCCTGAGGTCATCCCGCGGCTGGCAGTCGCCGGCGGGCGCGACAGATTCCGCATTGTCACATGTAAGTCACAACAAAACTGGAGCAGAAAAAAACAGAGTTTCGCAAGTGCTGTGTTGCAAGACACAGGAAGATTCAAGACCTTGATATTGACTGCTGACAGTCGTTACTACAAAAAGAGTAAGCCCTTGCATAGATCACAGTGTGATCGCACACTATTCTCAAAGCGACCCAAGCGCCTTGGCAGCAGACACTGGATTCCAAGATTTGAGAAATGCCCCTCCAAAGCCGACAACTGATCCTTCTCACCGCTATCGCCTTTTGGCCTCCACACAAGTTGTTCCATTCTGATCGCGCGATTGGGCCGTATTTCTGAATTTGTCAATCGGCCGCCAACAACGCATCCACGAAGGCTGGGAAGCCCGGTGGAAGGGCGCGACCGTGGGATGAAGCGGTCTGCTTTCGGCGATATGTACATACTGCGCAGTATCGCTAATGTGAAAATCGGATAGGGAACTCGAGGAACTGAGCCCAAGAGATACGTAGCTGCCTGCAAGAAGCCGCCGCAGCCGCACTGCGAACTCGATCGCCCGCGTCGCGCGGTATCCTCGCCCAGGGCTTACAGAACTGCGCGAGACGCTACACATAGAAATGCAAGGGCCACTACATTGCCATACACTGTCTGCCCACAATACGGAAGTCTCGAGTAGTCTTCGCACGCGGTGGAGAACATACAACGACCGTCCTTGGCAGCGCCAGATTCCGTGCTGCGACGCGTTCGTCAAATGTTCTTCCTCTTTCTGTTGAGTACTAATGGGTGACGTTCTTGGAAGAAAAGAATGTCTGCAGCGAGAAGAACACGCAGTATACTGTAGGCAAAGCGTTCGGGCTAAGAGCACCACATGCGGCAGCTGTCGTTATCTTATCGGTGTATCCCATAGTAACAGTTCCCAACGAGGAAAAGCCCGTTCACATCTCCAGCCTATCCGGTCTGATGTGTCCGACCTTCCCACCTCATCTACTCTCATACATGCAGGTCGGAGAACGATACAGGCGCGTTCAGGCCAAGGGTGCAGTCATAAACATGCCCCAAGCGCATCTGACGCGATCGAGAAGCGAAGAGATAGCAGAGCGATTAAGTTGGAATGTATTCGCATTCTGAGTAGCAGCTTGGTGGCCTCACCAGTCATTCGGACGACTACTCAAGGAACCTTGACACGTGGTGAGGTAAGCCCGAAAAGTGACTGATCATTTACGAAGTGTTAGCAGCAGATCCACGAACTCGATACATACTTCACACTACCAAAAGTAACTAGTCTCCACTTGGGCATCCTTTTTCTCAAAAACATCACGGGTTTCCGGGGTTGGCTGCGACTGCCTAGGAGTGTGTGGCTGCTGCAGGGTGACCGCGAGGCCAAGCCACTAGCGTCCGCTACTTAAACCACAGTCCCCGCTCTCTCGACTTGATCATCTTCCCAACTTATGAATCGCGTCGACCAGTACTTCCGCTCTTTCACTTTCAAACATCACATCAATGGCCGAGACGTGCATAGTCTGTCTCGGCGATCTCGTCCCCCACGACGACGGCCCTACCGCCACCGCATCATCGCTTGCGACCAAACCGCTTGAGGATGGCGCTGATGGCGACTCCCAACCCCATGCCAAGAACAAGATGGTGGCTGTAGAGTCAACCAAAGAAGACGAACTAGTCGCACACCTACTGCCATGCGGCCACGATCTGCACAACGAATGCCTTAAGCCTTGGGTTGAACGAGCGAATAGCTGCCCGATATGTCGAGCCAGTTTCAACATGGTCGAGCTCAGCGTACGCGTTGGAGGTATGTCAGTCCTGGATGTTACGGAGTCTGAGGTTGCGACGTTGCTATTGCTGCCTGGTAGTAGCCTGGCTACTGGCTAAATGGTCAGTCGAGCTCAGCACGAACTCTATCCAATCCCATAATGCCGTGCTGCATCAAGCGGTGCTGTTGAGATGGAATCCCAACTGACACTTTACCAGGACCTAAGCTATCCGAGTATACCGTGCAAGACAAAAAACAAGTCGCCGATATCGATCCTTCTATGATTGTTGAGGACGACTACACACTGGAGGATGACGGAAGCTATGACGCATGTATGGTCTGCGACGAGTTCGGTGACGCATCACAGCTCATGTACTGCCATAGCTGCGAGCAGCTTTGCCACGTCTTTTGCGCTGGTCTTGATCGGATGCCATCTCGTGGGCCTTGGTATTGCCAGGGCTGTGTTGAGAATCCTAGCCTGCTGGAAGCTGCGTCCCGACGACGACCAGCGGTCCGGGGTCCCGCTGCCTGGATCAACGGCCGAAGCCGTGTACCACGTCACAACCATGCCCCTGATGAATGGGTAGGGGTCTGGCAGAGCGTCTGGGACCGACTGCAGTTCGACATTGAGTTTCCCTTTGACGAGGAAGAGCAGTCGGAGAACCAATCTGATGTCACACGCCGCGATGACATCAGATGGGAGCAGCGCATGCGCGTAGCACGGCGAGCAGGAGCTGGCAATCGTTTTCAAGCCGCTGCTGACAACATCATAACTGGTCGTCGGCGCAACTCCAACGCCATTGCGCGACCTACAAACCGAACGCTTCATCATGAACCACCAAAGACACCAAAAGACCCCGAGTCACAAGAAGAGCTTCGTGCATGGAATCAATTTGAGAAGGCGCGTGAGCAACTCGCCCAGGGTGACGCGCGCCCTACCCCTAGCGTGGCGAGCACTAGTAGCCGACGGGGACGCAAGCGCAAGTCTGTCGACTCTTCGCCTGCTGACTCTGAGCCTCGCGAGCAGAAGCCTGAACGCAAGCTCAAGCGCCCTCGAACTCGTATGCACTTAGACAATGGAGAGTCATCATCGGCTGCTGCACGTCGCAACACGACGACTAACACGCATGCCCCTGCAGCTGCGTCGTCACCACCCGCGGCTCCAGCTGGTGAAAGTTCCACTCCTGCGCCGGGCTTTCTTCAGTCATTACTTCAAGAGGTCGAGGTTGACCGATTCGCTGAGCGCGACAAGGAGATCGCCGCCCCACAGCCGCGGCGCATCATTGTGGAGCGCGCTTGTTCTCCCCAGCATTCATCGCCGGGTCTGTCGCCTGTCTACCAGAAACCCCCGGGGATGACAACGCCGCCGCCTCTCAACCTTACCCGTACCGCATCGCCTGTACAGAAATACCAACAACTATCGCCAACATACTCGCCATATTCCCCTGCAGACGACGATCGGCCTGGCCGCCGCAGGCTCGCACATCGCTCTGTCGGCCTTAGTAGTCCCCCTCGCTCAAAGGACTCGTCGCCGAGCCGCCCCGCACTTTCCTACTCTACCAAGGCTGAGCTGCAACGCATGGTCACAGCCGTTCTGAAGCCTATATATCTGAAGAAAGAAGTCACGAAAGAAGAGTATACAGACGTCAATCGCGATGTGTCACGTCTATTGTACGAAAAGGTTGGTGAAGCTGGTGCCGACGCACTGGCAGACCAAGATACGAGAGAGAAGTGGCAGAAAATGGCGACCAACGAGGTTGATATTGCTGTAAAGGCCCTTCGTGCTGGTGGAGCGGCGCTTTCGCCTGCTGCTGACGACTCTGCATCTTCATCTTCGTAATGAAGTTCTATTGCGTTGGTGCATTTGGGCGTTAGGGATTCCACTAGGCATGGATGCATGCTTCAACAAGGTGTTACAGGGAGGAAAGGACATATGATACCATGGGCTTCTTTTTTGTTTCTAGCATCGATGGCGTTCTGGATAGCGCTTCGAATCATAGAAGTCCGTCTGCAACGTGTAATGAAGGAATTTCGGCCGAGCTTCGGCATTCACAATCAGTGTGCTATTCTCACAGTAACAACTGCAAACATGTTATACCTGCACACAACTGATGACAACGTTTAAGTAAAACTTCGTCTATCGATGGGAAGTCGACGACTGCATTATCCAATGCTATCTAATCGTAGGATGACAGTAAAATCGAAGAAGGCACAAGCTGATCGAAGCTCCAGCTGGACCCTGCACGTCTGACAAGCACCATGTTCTAGTGCACTCGTGTCATCATGAGTAATCTAATAATTCGGCCTACGGTACTCGCCGTCGCGATACTCCAGATGAGGAAAGTCTTGTTGATTCTGTGGAGGATAGCTTTGCTGTTGATAGCCTTGTTGGGGCGGTGGGTACTGCTCAGACCGATAGGTTGGAGGGCCTTGGCTGTCATAGCCCTGTGGAGGGGTTGCATGATGCTCAGGTCGATAGTTCTGAGATTGCTGATACTGTTGAGGTGCATAGTCTTGATGAGACGGTGCGTGATGCTCAGATCGATAGTCTTGAGGTGGTGGGTATTGTGGGGCCCGGTGATCTTGGTATTCCTGTCTCGGCTCCTCTCGGTATTGATTGTAGTTCTGGTACTGCGGTGGGTTGTCGTATCCTTGCGGCGCGTGCCCTTGTTCACCATAACCACCTTGGGGAGGGCCAGGACGATGGTCGCCTTGGGGTGGCTGTGGTGGAGGCTGGTATCCTCCCATCTGCGTGTTCGCAGTCGGTGATCCGACACTCACATTTTCGTTTCCGATATCGTCCGGAACATTGATCTTAACGTCAGGTAGATATCTCTGGACCTTCTGTTCCACCATACCCTGCACAAAGACCCAGCTTTGGCGCTCAAACTTGCGGTGTCCACCATTGACTACACCTAAGATGCTCTCTCGCAATGTCTCCTGAACCTTCTGAACTAAAGCACGAATCTTGCCGAGCAACTTGGACTTGATGTCATCGCCAAAGCCGCGGTCAGCATTGCCTGACGCATCGCGGTCTAGCTGTGAATCGAACGGATTACCACCAAGTATCTTTTCTAGTGGCCGTTGGAATTGATCAGGTAGCAGTTCAAATAGTTGCTTCTCAATTTGTCCGAGGATCTTGCGAAATTCCAGGCGGACCTCTCGGTGAACCTTTGCGAGACCGGTGCTGAGCTTGTCGCTGATGACTCGAGAGAAGCCGCTTCCACTGCCACTCTCGCCATCCCGGCTAGAGCCATCAAAGCCTCTGGAAGATTCTTCCTGGCTGCTCTTTTTGCTTCCGAATAAGTTTCCAAGGCCCTTTACTAGGTCACCTACTTGTTCAGCAATCTCAGCCTTGGCGCCGTCGCCAAGGTCGCGTGTGCTTGTGTTTCCACGAAGCCAGCGCTTGATGTGATCCAGAGCTATCCGGGTGAATTGTTCAGCGAGGGGTGCATGCTGCTCGCGTAGCTTGTCGCCTACTGTTTGCTTGATCTCTGGACTGATGAGCCTCGCCTTCTCTTCGGGATTTTGTGATGCATCTTTGATCGTGCTACTGATCATCCCGAGTAGTCCCCCAATCTCAAAGGACTGGCCATCTTTTGATCCTCTCTCGTCATCGAAATGATCTTGAACAACATTGAGTGCTGAAGAAAGGAACCCTCTAGCTCCAGATGCAAAATCTCCATCTACAGATCGAGACTGCTCTACACCGCCTCTATTTCCAGAAGTAAGATTAAAAATGTCGCGCAAATCTCCATTCGCTTCATCAGAGATCTGTCCGAAGCTTCGAGTCAATTTGGAAATCTCATCCGCAAAGGGCAGTGACTGGCCACCATAAGAATCAGGTGCTGCGTCATTGAGATTCCAGGGACCAGAGCGGCTGCCATCTGATGAGGACGGCCTGTCTTTGTTGAACAGTGATCTGAACGCGTCTATGACTTGCGTCTCGAGACTGTCGATGGTCTTTTGTTGGAAGGTCTCAAGTTCGGAGGCGATGCGGGGCTGGATCTGGGGTGCCAGCGAATCGACATAGTCGTCGACTTTCTGCATCAACACGTCAGGGAGACCGCGCGAAGACATGTTCGATAGAAGAAAACAGGTTTCAGGCTAACGGATAATTCGGATAGGGAGTGATGAGCTTTTGTTCGAGATCAAGGTAGGAAACTTGGTTCATGGTGGGAGCGAAGGTCGAAACGTGGCTGGTGATAAGTGGCGCTCGGCCAAGACAGGCTAATGACGAATACTAAGAGCTTCACTAGTTGTTCTACCATAACAAACACCATATATCCGTCCACAAAACACCTTCCCTAGCATACACATATGACCGCCCAGCCAAGCTAAAGGCTCAGATGAATTAGAAAGTAATGTCATTGATTCGACAGTGTTCCGAGAGATCCGTTCCGAACCCACATGTGGCGCGGCATTACATGGCGCTTGTCTTACCTCTAAACGCTCAGCCAATATGAATCCGGTAACGCACAAGAAATCACTATAAAGATGAATAAAAAGCCCAGCTCTGTAGAACGACATTGTCTTCTCCTACCGCCACCATGAGCCAAATCAAAATCGCCGACTCTCCGATTACTGGAAAAGCAGATGACGGTGCCGTACGTTCAAGGCGCTACGATTCCCACTCTCTACACCCTTCGACTCCTGGTATCGCACTTCTTGCATTCATAGGCAACCTAGCTTGTTGGATCATTACAGGCGCCATCGGCTACGCCGCACCCCCTTGTCTAGCTATTGATGATTGGACGTGTATGACCATGGTTTTTTTTGTGCCTCAAGGACTCGCAACGGTATACCTCATCTCTATCGCTTTGGAGAAGGGTTGGATGTCTGCAACACCAAGCCTGAACGCAGGCATTGTCGGCTTTAGCATTGCTGTCGTGTACACTACGTGTTGGGCTACTTGGGGGAATTTTGCGACACGTGTATTCTGGATTGAGGCAGATGTCTACCTCTCCCTTGCCCTCGAGGCTAAGCTTGGGGTCTTCGAAGCTTCAGAGCGAAGAATAGGCACATTGCTGGACTTGTAAAAAATAGGCTCCGCTGTCATAAGAAGGCTGTCGGCCTCAAGAATATCCATGAAGAAGCTTGCAATACTGCATGTTCCATAAGCCGTATACTTCATCATGCATCTAAACAAAGCCGGGCATCATCCCTTCAGCTCTGGGGTGGTAATATTTACCCTCAGACAATAGCATCGGGTCTAACAACTCTCTTCTTAGCGGTTCCTACTCCAGCATGTCCCCTCTCCTGATCCTTGCCCAACCACGGCTTCAACGCCTCACCCACCAGACTCTGTCTCAGGAAGTAGATGACCTGACCGATGATGATGAGAACAAAAGCGATAGGGTACATCCAGTGAATGTTCAGTCCAAACACCTTGACACCGATCGCTACACCCCAGAAGCTTCCGGTAAGCAGGGAAATGTTGAAGAAAGCAGCGGAGCTGAGACGGAAGAGAACCGGTGCAAGTGAGTAGAACAGCGAAAGGATGAGTGTGTACCCCGTGAGATAACCACCAACCTTTGCATTCCAAACTGCACTGCGGAAAGCAGCGCGATCAAAGATACCAGCTTGCGTACCGTTGATGAACATGCCCCAGAAGGCCAGTTGACCAACGACTTCATATAGTGGTCTCTCAGAGACTAGCCACTCCTCAAAAACGTTGGACAAACCGTAAAAAGTAGCGCCGAGCAGCGCAAACAAATCGCCCTTTACTTGATCTGTAGCGCCAAAGTTGTTGGTACCCGTGATGTGGTCGGATCCGAAGATTACACCTAAACCGCCGATGCACAGAAGGATGCCGAAGATTTGCGTGTAGTGGTAGCGAACCTTGAGGAAGAAGAAGGAGATAATTACGACAACGGCGATCGCCCAAAAGTTGATCAGTTGGGCGCTAAGGATGGTTGTCTAGTTGTTTGTTAGCACAGCGCCGAGCGACCTGAAAATGACAATCGAAGAACTTACGTAGCGGTATGCTAATACAATAAAATAGTTGCCCTCTACATCCATAAAAGCGAGGATGAAGAACCTCCAGCCATCTTTGATAACAAGACGGCCCCATTCTTTGAAACCGTACTTGTAAAGGGTGTACGATGTGTAGATTATATTAAGCAGGACGTAGTTGAAGAAGGATTGGAATGCCGGGATTGATGTACCCTCTTCGGCGAGGAGAGACGACAATGTGTTGGTACCGGTGATGCAGAGAGCGAGGACTAAGATACTTCGTCAGTTTAAACGTCGTCCATTTGAAAGATTTATATTCATCACATACCCTGCCCCAACACTAAAGTGATCCAGAATTGCTTCGTCTTGAGGTACTGGAACCAACGTCCCTTAGTCTGTGCATCACGCTCCAGGACTTCGTTCCCAGGCGCATCATTATGCAACTCATTTTCAGATGTCACATATGTGCCAGCACCGGTTTTATTGTTGGTTGTCTCGGGCGCATAATGTTCGTGATGCGCATCTTGGACGACGACGCCTTCTGCGGGGTAAGCTTGAATTGGATTCATGGTCTTCGCGTTGTTGTTGATCCTGGAGTATGCGGAAGGGACGCCTGAACCGGAAGGCTTGATGTAGCTATCAGAAGCTTATCGAAAAAAGCCGTATAACTAAATGGTGGGTTGTTGGAGCTTTTCGCATTCAACGTGAGCGCAAAACTCCAGAAGTCGCTCACGGTGGTGTACAGTCCGTACAATCGTTGCGCCGCGAAAGGTTGCAAAGCACGTTCGAGGTGGGGGTCCGCCACATTATAAACAGAGACGGCCGCACTCGTTCTATCTCGCCAGTCGCGTCTCGCGCTCCGGCCACCATGCGCAGTCGTGAAAAAAGTGTGCTTGGCCTATCGTCTAGAGCATGGGAGCTCCGCTTGTTCTTGCCTGGGTGGGGTTAAGCTTCGGAGACTAATGTGTCCTTGTGGAGATCGACGGTGCGAGAACATGTCGATGCGCGAAGGCTAGGGCTAGGCGAGCCCCGAGAATGCTTTTTCCTGCGTTATCGTCCATGTCAAGAGGAGGAGAGGCTGAGATGAGTGATGATAAGTGGACGGCAGAAACGACCGCGTGGTCAAAGTGCATGGTTTTGCCGAGCATTAGTCGCAACGTGGGGGCGTTCAGAATTCACTAGCACAAAGTATAGGTATGGGAATGTTCCTACACTGTCAACGCCCTCACCGCGTTTATGCATGCAGAAACTTCCCGGCATGCACGATAGTGGTGGGCCCAGGCACCTGGTATAAGGGGACTAACAACGGCGAACGGTAGTGGGGCACAGGCATAGCAATGCAGGTAACAGAAGCAAGGCGGTGCAAAAGCAAGGTTTTTTATAGGCTAACTAGAGAGGAGAGAAGGATACAAGACCATCGTCTGGACTGGCCCAAACAAGTGTTACAGACGTGAGTAGAGCTACCTACACGTCGTCCGTGACAAAGTAAACAAGACAAGCAAGACAAAAGGTAAAGACAGTCAACAGTCGGACATTTCGCGTACTTTTACCATCCACGTGTCCCTGCAGTCGGGATCCTACTCAGAGTCCTCATCCTCGCTATCCTCGTTCTCCAGCCAGTCCTTGAACTGCTCGGCCGATTTGCGGACAGACTTGCTGACCTTGAGGTCGACATACTTCTTGCTTGCCTTGGAGCACCAGGCTTTGAGCTGATCCTCCGAGACAAGATCGTTCTCGTACACCTTGAGCAGGATAGCAGAGACCTGAGGAATGAGCTCAGGCTTGTCGTTGCCGACAAAGCGCTCGATACCACCGAGGAAAGCCTTCTCGTGCTTATCCGAAGTGATCATCTTCTTGAGCATAGGGGCGCGACCATCCATCTGCTTAACAATCTTCTCAGTGAAGAGTGTCTGGGGAATGACAGTGAGAGTACGGTGCTTCTCCTCGATGCCGAGCTCCTTGGCCTTGATATAGATGTCGACGTTGTCAAGGTTCTCAACACCACCCTTCTCGGCACCAGTGTCGATGATCCACTTGCCGAAGACGTCGTAGCTCGAGCCGCCCTCCTCATCATCCTCAATGACAAGAGCACGCTTGAGATCGTCGGGCAGATCCTGGGCACGAGCCCTAATGGCCGCCTCAGAGGTGTCGATGGACCACTCAACCTCCTTGGCGTCCTCATCTTCGATCTCCTTGGCGCCCTCGTTGATCTGGCGGGTGAGTTCGTCATCGCTGCCGGCCTCGAGTGCCAGGTCGCCATCGTCGCCGTTGTCATCGGCGCTGTCACCGGGGCTGCCGCCATCGGGCGAGGTAGCCTCACCACGGGCTTCAGCCTCTTTGCGAGCACGACGCTCGGCCTTTTTACTGGACTTGTCCTTCTTGCCCTTCTTGGGTTCGTTCTTCAGGATGAAGGAGCTAAGCTTCAAGCGGGGGTCAACGTCGGAGATCTTTCCACAAGCCTTGCAGTCAAGCGTGATGTTGCCGTCCTTGATATGGACATCGGTCTCGGGGTTCTTGCACTTCTTGCAGAGGACGAACTTTGAGATGAAGCCATCAAGGTAGTCCTGGAGCTTGCTGGCATCATGGGCACCGTTGATGATCCAACGGTCATCGTTGGGGCTCGTGTTGGTCTGAGCTCCGAGTTCGAAACCAAAGTACTTGATGACGTGAGCAGGGGGGCGGGCGAGAGACTGAGCCACGCTGCTCAGGTTGACAATGACGGTCTTGATGCCGTTACCCTTGCCTTCGATCTTGGACTGGATGCGCTCCATCTTGTAGCGGTAGAAGGGGTCGGTGACATCGCGGCGAATGTTGACGGTAGCCATGGTGACGGTGGTGCGGGGGGTCTGGTTGACGAGGTTGATTTAGTGATTATGCGGCGGGCGGGCGAACGAGGTCGGATCAGGTATGTTGACGAGGGCCGAAAGAGACATGCGCAGGAGCAGTCTCTAGTATGTGTGGGTTGTGTGTGTGCGACTCAAGGTCAAGAGGGGCAGTGGATTAGCCGTTGGTTTGGTGGATGATACTGCTTGGTATCCGCATACAGCGAAATTTTTGCAGTTTGGGGGGAGGTTCGACTCGGAAGGAGTAGCTTTGGCGCGAATACATATACTCCTGTTGTCGTTGGCGACTCTGAGGTGCGGTTTGTGCTTGTGGCCTGATGGCGAGAGTGGCGGTTTAGGCAGGTCGCGGGTTGGCGACGAGCAGGCTGTTTGGCGTGTGGGGCAGACTTGTGTGTGCTGTTGCCAGTGGCAGTCACTGGTTTGGACGAGGGCGACTGATGGATTTTGCGTTGTGCGAAGGTTGAGTGTGTGCGAACCGCGGGTGGTGGATGGAAGATATATGGGGTCCGACTTACGCTTAGTTTTTCGAACTTGCCGAGCCACACTAGTGAAGGCCGTTCTACCAAACGCCTCCAGAAGCCCCGCCCTGAGTCAGTCACTTACTTGTCTTTTGGCTGTTCACGCGATTGCACAGAGCTTTCAGCACTTGGACTGTGAAACCAGGCGGCCGAGTCCTGAGGTGGCTCGCACTGTCAGTTTGGGCCATTGGCGACAGACAAAGAGTTTTCTGGTCCACACAAACAACGGAACATCAAACGGTTGTTGCAGGAAGTTGCTGCATGGTCGGTTCACCACAGCGGGCAGGGATGCATCACTGTTGCACAGCACTGGTTCAGTGCCCCCGCTTGGATGCCTTTGACAGAAGGTGATCATACACGGACTTCTGCAACATGGTGGTTTTACTGTGGTAATTGTGCCTGCCATGAACACGGCGCGACAACCTTGGGAAGGAAGGCGGTACCCATGTATGGCTGACAAACGACATGTTTACACGATTATTATGTGTCCTGTACCAACCTTGAATTGCCCCGCAGTTCACCGAACACCACTTGCCATGTTAGATCTGACAACGTGGGGCAGAGAGTTGAACGCCGCCGCCGAGCAATCACCGTCAAACAAGCTGCGTTCTGTAAGCTATACGTAAGGCTGTCGCTTAACACGTCTACATTCGCTACTAATTTCCCGCGAACCGAATCAAAGTCTTTGGCGAGCCGCACCTAGATTGCGTCATCAGCCATAGCGGCTTTTCTCAAAGATTTCCAGCATTAATGGACAAGATCGAGTATTCCACACCAGTCGTGCGTCCACTTGCAATAATGGCTGAGCAAAAGGTAGACTACTCCCTGTATCTCGTGACAGACTCTACAGAAGCCATTCTGGGCTCAAGAGATCTGATTGATGTAGTTGAGCAGGCATTACTTGGAGGTTAGTCACATACTGCCCCGGTTGCATTTCCATGTTACATGTCCAGCACATCCATTAATGTGCAACCATGTTGATTCAGAACTTCAGGTGTAACGATCGTCCAATATAGAGACAAAACCTCAGACACTGGCATCCTCATCTCTACAGCAAAAAAGCTCCACGAAAAATGCAAAGCACACAATATCCCGCTTCTCATCAACGACCGTGTGGACGTTGCTCTCGCAGTAGGCTGTGAGGGTGTTCACGTGGGTCAAGATGACATGAATGTTCGCGAAGTACGCCGCCTTCTAGGAAAAGACAAAATCATCGGCGCAACAGTCTCGTCTATCGAAGAAGCACGTATAGCCGTCGAGCTGGGCGCAGACTACCTAGGAATCGGCACATTGTATGCCACAAACACCAAGAAGAACACCAAAGACATCATCGGGATTACTGGGATCAGAAGGATCTTGCGATATCTCGACCAGGGCAACGACGCTGAGAAGAATATCAGGACAGTATGCATCGGTGGTGTCAACGCTTCCAACACCCAACGCATTACACACCAACTTCTAGCCCCAACAACCGCCAACGCCCGTCCCAAAACGATCGATGGCGTCGCAGTAGTATCCGCGATAATAGGTGCTCAAGACCCTAGAGCTGCATCCTCACACCTCGTCCACCTCCTCAAGACGCCTCCACCATTCGCTCCTCAATCCTCACTTCCAAATTTCTACCACGAAAAGCCCGCCGATGAAATAATCTCTGTCCTCAAAACCGCCATTTCCGCGACAAAGAAAGTCAAAGAAATGAACCCTCTCTCCCACAACATGACCAACCTTGTTGTCCAAAACTTCGCCGCAAACGTCGCTCTGTCTATAGGTGCTAGCCCCATCATGAGTAACTATAGCGCTGAAGCTGCGGATTTGTCTAAATTAGGCGGCGCATTAGTCGTAAACATGGGTACCGTGACCCCCGAAGGACTAGCAAACTACCAAGCAGCGATCACTGCTTACAATGCCGCTGGTGGACCCATTGTTCTTGACCCTGTAGGCGCAGGGGCAACGAGCATACGAAGAGACGCTCTAGCCAAGCTAATGGGTGCTGGTTACTTCGACTTGATCAAGGGAAACGAAAGTGAGATCCTCGCTGTGGCGCGTGCCAGTGGGTATCAGCTTGATAACTCCAGTCAGCAGCGTGGTGTTGACTCTGGTGCTTCACTCTTCTCTGTAAAGCAAAGAGCGAGCATTGTTTCGAGCCTTGCGGCTAGGGAGCGGTGCGTTGTTCTTATGACTGGCGTTACTGATGTTGTTTCGGATGGTACAAGGACTTATGCTGTGAGCAATGGGCATGAGTATCTGGGGAGGATTACAGGGAGTGGATGCACACTGGGTACAACGTTATCTGCCTATCTGGCAGCATATCGTGAAGATAAGCTGCTTGCTGCTGTGGCAGGACTGTTGCACTACGAGATCGCGGCGGAGACTGCGTCGCAGAGGGAAGATGTTAAAGGTCCGGGGACATTTGTTCCTGCTTTCATAGACGAATTGTGGAATCATGGAGAGAAGATGGTGAAGGGGGACATGGAGCTGAAAGACGTGGCTAAGGTGGAATTCATCAAGGACATGGACGATGCTGGATTATCGGAGGATCTGTAGGCAGTGTAATAGTAGTCTCAACTTGTACAAACAGATTTGGGTATTGTTGACGATTGAAAGGATACTATTATTACGCCTTTTCTTGCTGGAGTCCCGTACCATGTCGTAACGCCAACGCTCATTGGCTTTCAACGTAACTTGATCGTACATCTCTATGCCAACAACCCATGACAAAAATCTACCTCGCTTTCCTGTATCGGCCCTGATTCATCTCTGCTTTCAAAGCATCTTGCTGATCCGGCAACGGCGCTCTTCTCCTAATACCATCTGCGCCTACACTCATCGGTCCTCCTTGTTGCTGTTGTGGTGGTGGAGGAGGGCCTGGCCATCCTGGTGGCGGAGCGGCCATACCACCAGGCGGAGGAGGGAAGCCTGGGAAGCCTGGAGGTGGCATGCCTGGGGGAAAAGGTGGCATACCAGGTGGCATGCCTTGTGGGAAGCCGGGAAAGTTTGGTGGAAAGGGTGGAGGAGGACCGTTAGCGTTTGGCGGTGGAGGACCGTGACCGTGAGGTATGGGAGGTGGCGGTAAGGAGCCCGACGCGATAAGTTGTGCAAGGCGAGAGGGGTCCATACCATTGAGAGGAGGCATAGGCGGGCCCCCTCCGTTTGGCGGTGGGAATGGCATGTTACCTGGTGGAGGGGGTACTGGAGGATGATTTGCCCCGCCAATACCGGGTAGAGAACTGGATGTACCGTCTGGCGCTGCATTGAGTCCTGGTAATGAGAGACCAGGAGGCAGGAAACCACCAGCGGGGTTCTTTGACGGCATCTTCTGGTCGACCAAGCCTTCGGCTTCGTCCTCGGCTTCCTGCTCTTCTTCTTCCATCTTCTGCCGCCTGCCCTGGCCACGGTCAAACGTACCTTGTGCCTCTGCCGCAGCTTGGCCAATATGGTAGCGGTCGTTGATGTAGTTTGTGTCGCCTGGCCGTGGACGTGTCCAGAAACGCGTGACCCTGTCGTTGGAACCGGATGCAAGGATGTGGCCCAGTGGATGCCAATCCATTGTCCAGACTGTGAAGTCGTGGGCGTATTGCAGGCTATGTGCGGGGTATATAGTTTGCGAGGGCGCGTTTTGTGAATCGGCAGCGTCGTAAGGCGATATCGACGGTGCGACACCAGCAGGAGGGTTTTGCTCGTCGAGGAGATAGTGGTGTATGCTGCCATCGACACCACCGGTGGACAGCAGGTTCTTGTGCATCGGGTGCCAGGCCATTGTAATAATGTCCTTCTCGTGTCCCTTCAGCAGCAAGACATCGCGCATCATTCGAAGATCAAAGATGCGGGCTGTGTGATCACGGGCGCATGTTGCTAGCATGTTTCCTTGGACGGGCTCGAACATGGTTTTTGATATTGGGTTTTTATGTCCATGAAGCGTCGTAAGACAGCGCCCTGTCCGCGGATCCCAGAACTTGACTTGGTGATCCTTTGACCCTGATACTAGCAGTCCCTTGTGCGGATGCCAGTCAACCGACTTGACTTCCCATCCATGTCCCGTCAACGTCGACTCTTCTGTGCTCGACGCAAAATCCCAGATCTTCAATGTGGTGTCATCGGCGCATGTCACGAACTTGGTGTCTGTGGGTGCGATGGAGAGCCCTCGTACCGCTTCCGTGTGCGCCTGTATCTCTTTGACGTTGTTGAAGTTTGTCTGCCAGTACTTGACGACGCCTGTCTGATCTGCTGATAAGAGCCAGTCGTCGGTGGATGTGTATTCGACAGCTCGAATTGCAGCCTCGTGAGCCTGCATGATAGTTTCGAAGTTGAAGCCCATTCCGTTCCACAGAGTGAACTCGCCGCTGGTTGAGCCGGTGAGCAGTCGCCGACCTTCTGGGGTCCATTTGACCACATTTATGGGGTGTTTGACCTTGTTCAGGGAAGAATGCACGGCTTTGGCTGGTATCGACTCGGCTGCGCTGGCGACGCGTGCTGCTGGAGGCTGCATGTCGACAATATAACTTGCACTTGGCCGTTCCATCTCGGCCATGGGAGCATTCTTGTATCGCGGGCGCCGATTGCGCAACCATTGCACAGTCGTTGAGCCATAGTCGGTCACGGCTCCTGTGGATTATATAGTCAGCGTCAGATGCTGGCATCTGAACAGATGTACTCACGCTTCGGTCGAGGTCGCAGCCCTCCCTCAAAGTCTGGGCGATGGTATTCACGCTCCATGGCGGCTGTTGTTGCCGTGTACTACTCTTACTCGACCAGCATGGAAGGACCGGCGTGGGCGTGGTCGATGGCGATGCCCAAGGTTGACGTACAGTGCAGCGCGTCCTTTGTCGCGTTGAACCTCCGCGATAGCTCGGCCTAGCGTCAAAGCCACAGTGTTCGCATCATCAGCCACATTCACACGCCACGGCCTAAGATGGGTCGGCGTGCATCACCGTGCAGATCCCCGCTCACCAGACTCCCAACAGAATCCAGAAATGCGCTGATAACTCTGTCGCCATTGCTGCCAAAACCCTCGGTCATGGCGCGCTTATCCCGAGTACAAATCCATCGCTTCCGCCGAGAGCCACGGCCAAGTGAGCCTGTTTCCGTCGTCTCAATCGCCGCATACGAGCATCACTCCTACTCCTCGCTTCCACCCTGACATCTTTAATTGCTTCCGCATGAGCCATTGCGCTCTGGGGTAACCTGCACCCACTTCCCAATCCGTCTCAACTCTCGACCATGGCGACTCTTACCCAAATGGCAGCCTCCTCTGCTCTCGACATGCAGCAGGCCAGTTCCCCCTTGTACCGCGGAAAGGCGACCAGCGAACCCAAAGCCAATGCCACGACCAACGGCACGACCAAGCGTGCTCGTGACACCAAATACCGTCATGTCTTTGCAACGCACTCGTCTTCCCGTACCTCGTGTCTCAGCCAAGATGCAGATAAGGTTCCCAGCTTCGTCGGCTTCAGGAATCTTATGATCCTGGTTCTTAGTATGCACTCCTTACTACCGAGGATAGCCGCAAATGGCTAACGAGCACAGTTGTCTCCAACCTGCGATTGATGATTGTGAACCTGCAGAAGTATGGTGTCCTCATCTGCCTATCATGTCACGACTACCGTCGCTCCGACGTCATCACCGGGTTGCTCCTATACCTCCTCGTCCCTGCGCACCTCTTCGTAACCTACCTCATCGAACTTGCCGCGGCCTGGCAGGCCAACCGAGCCTACGCCCGTATATCGCACGAACGTGACCAAGACACGCCCGCCAAATACGCCGCTGCACTTCGCAGCTTCAACTCAACATGGTACATCGTAGCCTTCTTCCATAGCATCAACGCAGTCGCAAACCTCTATATTGCGACCAAGTACGTCTATTACGACATATACCACCCCGGCATTGGCACGCTCTGCGAATTTCACGCCGTCATCGTCTTCCTCAAGTGCGCTTCGTACGCGCTTACAAACCGCGATCTTCGCCATGCCTACCTGCACCCCAAGCAAGCCGATCCCTTACCGGAACTATACAAAGCATGTCCATACCCGCAAAACATCAACATGAAGAACCTATGCTACTTCTGGTGGGCACCGACCCTTGTCTACCAACCCGTCTATCCTCGAACCGATAAGATTCGCTGGGACTTCGTCCTCAAGCGCCTCGCCGAGCTCACAGGTCTTAGCATTGTCATTTGGATCGCATCTGCCCAATACGCTGTGCCCCTGCTACAGAACTCGCTCGACAAGATCCTTACCTTGAATTTCACATCCATTGCCGAACGCGTCATGAAGCTATCCACCATCAGTGTCTTCTGCTGGCTCTGTGGCTTCTTCGCCCTCTTCCAATCCGCCCTCAACGCCCTCGCAGAAGTAATGCGTTTCGGTGACCGAGAGTTCTACGGCGACTGGTGGAACGTGTCTTCCATCCGTACCTACTGGACGACTTGGAATAAGCCCGTAACAAACTTTATGCGTCGCCACATCTACTCGCCCCTTGTTGGTCGCGGTGTGCCTCCCGCAGTAGCCCAGATTCTCGTCTTTCTCTTCTCGGGTATCCTACACGAACTTCTTGTCGGCGTTCCCACCCACAACGTTATTGGTGTTGCATTTGCTGGCATGATGTTCCAAATCCCGCTTATCGCACTTACCGACGTAATTCAAAAGGTCAAGTGCATCCAAGGCAAGGTTGCGGGTAACATGATCTTTTGGATGAGCTTTTGCTTAGTTGGACAGCCACTTGCTGCGTTGCTTTATTTCTTTGCTTGGCATGCGAAGTACGGAAGCGTAAGTAAGAGCGTGGGGGAAAGTGCTGTTAATGTGTTCTATCGGCGATAGAGTACTATTCTTTTTGTGCTTGTCTCTGACGGGTTTGTCTTTGTGGATATTCATAGGTTCTTCTTCGATAAAATAACACTTTTCTTGTCTGACTTGGCGTGTTGAATCACCAACCACAGTTTGCTGACTCAGAATCCAATCTCCAGTAAGCCTGCCTTGGCTCTTCTCAGCATCCTCTTCACTTCTCTGCTTAACAACCCCTGAACCCTCTCAATCCACAAGCCGTGGATACCTTGCTTAGTGCCCACTTCTGCAAATCTACTCAGCATCTTCACCACCTCTCCTTTCTCCTCACCGCCCCACATCATCACTACCTCGCTCGCACAGAAAATCCGCATTCCTAGTGCGAAAACCTCAGCTTTTGTACTCCATCCTAGTGCACCGTCACCTTCTTTCTCCGCCGTCTGCATAAGTGTGGTCAGGCCATCTAGTACCCAGGTAGTCAAGCCAATGCGTAGGCACTCAGGGGTAGCTGAAGAAGATAAGGAGCAGAGAATACGAGACCAAAGAATCGTATCTAGGGTATCGTCCTTGTACAGATTCTGCTTCTCTTGCGCAAAGAGCGACGTATCTTCTTCCCTCTCCTGAGCAAAGGTTTCGGCAAAGGGTATATAGAAGGGGAGTGTGGGCGAGTGTGTATTTGTCAGACGCCGTATCGCTTCTGTAGCTAAGTACGGCGATGTCGAGAACACAGTGATCAGGTAGGCTGCAAGCTGGTGCGTCGTCGATATCGGCACCGTATCCTTGAAGGTGTCTTTACCTTGTAAACGCAAGAATGAACCCGTTGTGGAGGCAGCCAGATCGCGAATTTCGTCATCATCATCGTTGAGGAGATCGTAGAGGACGATAGCCAGACCTAGGACCAGTGAACCTGTCGCTTTTTCACTCGGAGCCAAGGTGAAGACCGATTCTAATGTGGAAAGCGACTGTATAGCAGCGAAACGCGTATCGAAGGGGTTTGTGTCGACAATTGTCATGCGTAGAAGGCGGATGTACCGCGCAATGGCTGCTAGGATCTCGGTACGGCGACATGGGTACGTGTGGTATGAGTGATCGAGGAAGGAACCTAACAGATGTACAGCGCTTTGCATGTTCGATGGTGGGCCTTGGATACACTGTACTCGCAGCTTGTGTAGAGTGATCATGGTCTGGTCTTCTGTGACTAGGCTGAAGAATTCACTCTTCAGGTTGTTGTTCGCAAGAGCATCGGCTAGCACGGCTTGCGACTTTGAGATCACTTCTGGATCCGTGGCTTTCAAAACCACACGGTGGATATGTGCTAAGACTAGAGAGAGCGGAACAGTCAGATCGTGAGACACTTTCATCTGCAGTATAGTGTCTAGTATTTCCAGTGCCTCCAGGCAGGTATCCGGGTCTGCGTTTGCGAGGAGCATGAGTGCATCGCCGATGGTCTGATATTCATCTGAAACCATGATCTGAAGGGATTCGTTACGCAGTATTACACGATCAATCATGTATACTTGTGCAAGAGATTTCCGAAGCAAAGCATCGCCGTGGCGGTCGCTGGGCCCAATCTCGTACTCGGGTCCGATCGTTATAGACGTAGTGAGGACTTTCCATGCATCGACTATCGAGATAGTGTTTGCCCTCTGGAGCATAGCCTTGCCGCAGATGCTCACAACATCAAGAAAGGCGGCTCGTACGAAAGGACAATCACTCGTCATGTACCAACTTGTTGCATGTTGTCCAAGCTGCTCCATCAAGGCTGCAAAGTGCTGTAGGGCTACAGGTAGTCAGCAAGTGGCCATTCAACTTACTGCTTCTTGAGACACTTACTACATTGGGTTTCATCTCGCAACAATTTCCTCAGCAGATACATCACCACTAGAAGTCTTCCGTGTTGCCCATTATGGTCGCTAGGGACGGTGTCCAATATGGGAGAGAGCTTCTCGTGATGCTCGTTTGTAGTATGTAGTGATACATACGTTCTGGCTGCCATGTCCCGCATATGCCAATGCGGACTTGGGAGTAAGTCTCTCACCAAGCTCCGAATCTTAGTGAGATCTCCCGGTGGTCGGGCTTGGCGCAAGATCTGGAGGGCAGGAAATACGCCCTCGGCACCATGGAGGTCCATCGGTGAGCTACCGGCCTCAGGCGTCTCCATGATCTTGACATCACTACTTGGCTCAAGCAGCTCTATCAAGATCTTCACGAGGCTGGGGTAGTTGTCATAGGAGAAGCGCGAAGTCCTGGCTCGTTCCCGCTCTTTCCAGTCCTGTGCTTCGTCGCTGCCGAGCAATCGTTCAATCAGAGCTTTGAACAGCATCAAACTACAGTTGCGGAGCGGCCATCTAAAAAGAGTCAGTCCAGAACTATTCAGTCATCTATTATGGTCTTTACATAGACGAATTCAAGGTTTTAGCAGCAAGCTCGAGACCTTGTCCGATGTATGCCTCAGATGCAACACTTAGCTTGGAGGTTGTGAATATCTCCTTGATGCAATTAAGAGCATGCACTTGAGGAAGACGGCTTTCCTCGATATTGGTACTCTGCGCTTCCACCAAAGTCTCGGCCACAAGATCCTTTATGGCTCGTGGGAAGAGCTTGCCTCCTACTTGGGGTTCTGCTGCTAGTAATGCGGACATGGCTGCTGGTATGCCAGCGGATCTCCTAGTAATGGCATCTGACTTTGCTTGGATAGATCGGAGGGTTTCCTACAGAGCGTCAGCTCCAACACGCATGCTGAAGTGATTGTGCACGAACCTGGTACCACATTTCAGGCAGCGCACGTATCAAAGGTATATTCGAAGTGACACAACGGCGGCAGAACACAGCAAATGTTTGCGACACTGTCGAAAATGCACCGCGGTGACGAAGTTCAAGTAGCTGTGTAAAGCAGAGTCTGCCCAGCTTTTCAAAAAGCTCCGGGGTGACAAGATCACCGTCCCCATCGCCTACAGGAGCTTTAAGAATAACAGTTCGTAGCAAAATACTGTGGCAGTTAGCGAAATCGAGAGTATAGCAGGGGTTTGATCACCTGGCCTCCTTCAGTCCCCTCCATGAGTAGCTTAGAATCTCTTTGGTGTCTAGACTGCTCTCGTCATCCAACTCGTCGGGGACATGGCCTTCCGGTGCATCTGCACACAGGACGTGGTAGACGCAAGACCAGAGACTCTCAATACTTGCTACAATCTCGCCGTGAGACCTCTTCCAGATGGCAAATGCCTCCGGTGGTAAGCTGGATATGGTAGAGTAGAAGTCGGGCTGGTCGACTACATAGCGTAGCGCAGCAAAAGTGCCATGTACAGGTCGACCGTCAACGGCCTTTGAAAGATCTGCGTGGGCCAGGTTCAAGGTATCCTGTAGCTGTGTTTTTAAATGTTCGAACAAACTCTGTTTCGAAGAAAAGTATGAGTTAGCGAAAATGTTTAACTCATTGCTGGCCAAAGCAAAGACCATTCCATAAGCACGAGCAACGCCATCTGCTTGATCTGCTCGGCCTGTTCGAAGCATTGTGGCTTCCGCCCTTGCAAGAAAGCGAGGAATCATCGACAGGGTACGTTCTTGATCAGTCCGAGGGAGAGCAACTAGACATAGCTGCAAGACTGACACAGCTGCGTCACGGACATCGTCGAAAGGATCTAAAATCAGGTCAAGCAGCAACCGGCAAAGTTTCGTGTTCCCGATCCGGAGTTCATGAGTCCAGTTGAGCTGCCCTTGTGCAGATTTGGAAAGACTGGTGAACGGAACGCCCGGGTCTATCCCAGAGCGCAGTACGATGGTGATAGAACGTAATGCAGTGATGCGGGACTGATAAGATGCAGTCGGGCGTAGCTCCCACTCAAGGAACTGGATATACCAGGCGATGAAAGCCAGAGACTCAGAGAGTGGGTCCTGTTCCCCATGTCGGGCTATCGAACCATGGGAACCAGAGCTCGTCTTTGGAAAGGGGAGGCGTGTTTGGCTAGATGCACCACCCTTAAATCTTGACTTTGCAAGAGTCGCCGTACTAGCTCTGAGACGATCGAAGAGCTTCTGTGTATAGCCATGCACTTCTCGGCGAAAGTTCGCATCCGTATCTGTATGCAGATGGAAGAGGTTGCGCCTGAGAGCCTGTAGGATGCCACCACTAATAGCTCTCGTAACAGAAGTAGAGTATACGCAAAGAAACATGCCTGCAAGTCTGACTTCAGGATGCGGATCCGCCATCCAGGCACCAGGGACGTTATCGGGCAGATATAGCGCTCCATCGCGGATCTCGATATCACTTTGAACTCTATAATCTGGTATGAAGATCAGTGACTAATCTTGCGCCACGTTGGTGAGAACTTACCATTGTCCTTCACTATGTTGAGTTCTTTTCCTGTGGCGATTGCTGCCAACAGTATTCTGAACTCTTCCATCTCTCCGAGGGACGACGTGTGACCGCTAGCTTGATACAGCTGACTGGGCAACGCATTTTCGTGTGGAACATGTGACTCAAAATGGAGATATGCGAGAAACTTCAAGTACTCCGAAAGATTAGGTAGAAAGCAATGAGGGAAGACGTGAGTTCTGAACTCCTGAATGCGATCCGGCCAATCTTGTAATGTCTGTACTACCGGTTCTATCCAGAATGGTGATATGGAGCCGTCATTGCCTCTTTCGTCATAATCTGCAAGACTCCGGGCCTGAAGTAGGTAGTTCTTGATCAAATGGCCCGCCGAAAGAGCGGTGTCGTGGTGGACAACCCACGCAAGGAAAGATTTGAATACTGTCCTCGAAGTCACGGTATCCTGGACTGTATCCGACGTCCGCTTTAGCTGCACATCAAACAATCCAATCAATTCCGTGATGGAAATGACATCCCGAAGTAGGAAATGGGCAAGGCCTTGCAAAGCTGGTTTGACTTTGATGCGATCCTCCCGCTCACATATGATGTCCAGGAAAGAAGAGGTAGCTCTTCTCCGAAGTTCATTCGCACGCAGGCTCTGATCTTTGGTAACGACACTTGTGAGGACCAAAAGCATCTGCCTCATCGATTTGCCCTTTGCATCTCC